TCATCTTGGGCATTTCTTGCTGACGATGCTGCTTCTTGACCGACTAAAGAGCTCACAGCCGAGTCGCATAATAAACGTATCTTCAAAAGGTCACAGAATGGGTAGTTGCAAGATAAATTTTGAAGATATAAATTACGAAAAAAGCTATGACAGCTGGGCCGCCTATTTTAACAGCAAGCTTGCTAACGTCTTATTCACACGTGAGCTGAGCAAACGCCTTGAGGGTAGCCACGTGACTGTGAATGCACTGCACCCAGGGGCAGTTAGTACTGAACTGGGTCGACACACTATCCTTGCCACCTTAGCTTTACCCATTGGTTGGTATATTTTGAAGACACCTACACAGGGGGCCCAAACCACCATTTACTGTGCCGTCTCAGAAGAAATGGAAGGAGTTAGCGGAAAGTATCTGAAAGATTGCGCCATCGTGGAGGAATCCAAGGGTGCACAGGATGATGATGCAGCCAAGAAGTTGTGGGATCTTAGCATGAAGATGGTTGGGTTGGAAAAGTTATAATACCAGTATGATAGCATTCCTTCATGAAGGCAAACAAAGCCCACTGTATTGGCTAATTTAAAAACTTTGAGCCTCTGGACGTCAATGAATGAGATGAACTGTAATCTGTTACTACATGTCGTATTAAAAAATATATAAAAAAATTTCTGTCTCTTTGTTGTTAACCACACGGTGCCACCCCATATTCTAAGTAACTGCTGATGGTTGTTTTACGTCAATATACATTTCTGTAAATTTGTTATTTGTCCTTTATGCTGACCTGAGGAAAAGACTAGTTTAGGTCATTGGAAATACTGATATTGAGTGTTATACTTGCAGTAGTATGTAATTTATAGTAATTTCACGTTCACGTAAAAATTGTCTTGGGATGGGCAGAATCACGAATAAATAAAAACTCAAATCAAATTTTCACGAGGAAACATATTTCCAATCTCGCTGCACGAAAAAGAATAGGGGACCCTCAAAACGGGATCGTTGCTTTGGTGGTAACCTTGGAAAAAAAAAAATTAGCATGGAGACGAGGCTTGTTCGAGCGTGACTCCTTAGGTAAACACTTGGACACTTGATAAGATCGACTGCGGAGGTGTGAAAATCATGGCTGTTCCAGCTGTGATCGGCGTAGCGGCAATCGCGGCTCTTTATGCAGGGAAAAGATACTTCCAAGGCCCAAAATGCAATAGCAAAAGCAGCCTCGAAGGTAAAACCGTGGTTATCACCGGTGGAAACACTGGCATCGGTAAAGAAACCGCGGTGGATTTAGCGAGGCGTGGAGCGAGGGTCATAATCGGCTGCAGAAACCTACAAAAGGGTAAAGAGGCACTGAAAGAAATTAAAGAACGCAGTGGAAATTCAAATATTTTTCTTGAGGAGATAGATCTGGCTTCTTTGGAATCAGTTCGCAAGTTTGCAGACAAAGTTCTCAACAGCGAACCCCGCCTAGACATCCTAATCAACAACGCCGGAGTGATGGTCTGCCCATATCAGAAGACAAAAGAAGGATTTGAGATGCAGTTTGGTACGAATCATCTTGGGCATTTCTTGCTGACGATACTGCTCCTTGACCGACTGAAACGCTCACAGCCGAGTCGTATCGTAATCGTTTCTTCGTCCGCTCACGGAATGGGTAGTGGCAAGATAAACTTTCAGGACATTAACTATGAAAAAAGCTATGACAGCTGGGTCGCCTATTATAACAGTAAGCTTGCAAACGTGTTATTCACTCGCGAGCTGAGCAAACGTCTGGAGGGTACCCACGTAACGGTAAATGCCCTGCATCCAGGAGCTGTTGCTACTGAATTGCAACGCCACTCATTTCTGGGCAGTGCTCTGCTCTACCCTGTGCGCTGGTACATGTTCAAGACCGTAGAACAGGGAGCTCAAACTACCATCTACTGTGCCGTTTCTGAAGAAATGGAAGGAGTTAGCGGGAAGTATCTGAAAGATTGCGCTATTGTAGAGCCATCCAAGGGTGCCCAGGATGATGAAGCAGCCAGGAAGTTGTGGAATCTGAGCATAAAGATGGTTGGACTGGAAAAGTGACACTAAAATTAGATAACAGAATCGTTACCTGTTCAATGATTTTATGCCAGTGCTATTGTTGTTAGTTACCGGTATTTAGTCTAATGCCGGTGACAGTAATATTATTCTGTTATTTAAGAAGAGTACACAACTACGGATAGAGTTAACCAATTCTTGTGTAAAATTTTTAGTGTTTTTGTATGTAGCAAGCGCCATCGAATAAAAGAAAGGTGCCAGATCCTAGTAGATCTTAAATAGATATGATATATATCCGCAAAGTTGTACAAGCAGCCTTGTAAAATTGCCACCAGTGACAAAGCACTATACAAGTTTGTAAATAATTATTTATCTAGTTTTTTAACTTAATTTTTATTTTTTCTAATATTTAACTCTTTACTATTTAGTTAATTATTATTACAAAACCCTCATACAAAAAGCTTCTGTACCTCTGACTGAGTCAAAATAAATTGATAGATCACTTCTTTAGAGAGAATTTCTCAGCCACAAACTTCTCCTTCCTATTTTCAGGGAGAGATCTTGTTCTTGTGCGGGTAGGGAACAACCTCGTCCCCAGGGCGCTTTTCACTGGCTTTGGAGGCGAGGTTGGGCGGGGAGCTGGCTACTTGCAGACAACCATACCACCCTGGCAATGGCAGCTTTGGACACCTGTTTAACCTTAGCTTCTCTTAACCTGTTCCAGGCTCTGAGCTAGTCGAGTCCACAAAATTGAGAATGCGCGAACACGAAAATAAAACGGGAGGAACCTGGCAGACCGCGCGCTCATATTTTCGCGTGCTTTTCACTTACTCGTCATACCCAAGCTTCCCCACTAGCTGAGAGCAAGGAACAGGCTACTTCATTTGGGCTTGTCAGCCTTGACAGTTAAGTTAGGGTAGCTGAACACAGCCTTTGGTAATACAGAAGCGAGACACAACAATCCTTAGTAGTTTTCACTAAGAAAATGTTGAGGGGGCCGGCTGGCCCTTTGTGCTTTAAATTATTTGACCTAAAAATTAGGAGGGGGCTTAGCCACCATTCCTCGGCCCCATCTATTGAGATCCGTCACCGATTATAGAAGAGATTAGCTACATATAACCCTGTTTGATAAAAAGGTAAATTGGTGTGACTATCAAGAAGCCTTTGTCACAGCGTTTTGGGCATCCCCGCGTTTTGGGCATCCCCATTCCCATATCCCTAGCGTTTTGGGTATCCCCTTCTCATATTACTGCAGCGTTTTGGGCATCCCCCGGTACCCTCCCGGGATGCCCAAATCCCTAGCGTTTTGGGCATCCCCTCCAAAACAATTTGGGATTTCGCGGGAAAATCGAAAACCTTTTAGAGATGGATTCCGCTAAATATACAAATCTGTTCCGGTATCTTAAAAATAAGGTTTATCCGGAAGGCTTTACAAAGCAGGACAAAACAATCCTTAGACAATTCGCCAAAAAGTTTGAGTATGACTCAAAATTAGAGTCCTTGTTCTACGTGGCCAAGGAGAAGGATGGCACAGCGCTTCGACGTCTTGTTATCGCCGAGGAAGAGAAAGCGAGGGTCTGCGAAGAGTGCCACTGATGATTTGAGGCCTCAGTAATTGTGTGACAGCCTTTCCTGTATCAAGTAGCCTTGCGGGGTTAAGTTGTACAGGCCTCAAATGTCATGAATACTATGAATGCAACACCGCAAAACGCAGTTTTATTCATGTTTGCCTTTTGATTCCTTTGTTTAGTATTCCTGTTTTTGGCTGTTTGGAATCAGACGATCGCAGCTGCCGGTGATTGCGGCATTGCTCGCTTGTAAACAGTTCTATTAAATAAAATTGAAAGCTTTGCAAACAATGAAGTGTTGTGCATCGAAGCGATGTTATGCGGTTGTAAATTTCAGTTTCGTCATGTTTTGAGCTTACGTTTACTGCCTATGGGTTTTTTTCTGCGCAATTAACCCGGCAAAAAGTGTCGGACGATATAATTCTAACATGCATCTACACTATTTAGCCGCAAATTCGTGATTAACAATCCCGACTTTTCCCCAGTCTGAAATAATTTAGGCAAAGTCGAAGTGATCAGCGTTTTGGACATCCCCCACCGGGGATACCCAAAACGCTAGGGATATGGGAATGGGGATGCCCAAAACGCGGGGATGCCCAAAACGCTGTGACACCTGTCCATTTTGATCCATTACAAGCCTGGGTACGAGGCAGACAGGGACCTGTGAACGAGCATAGAGACGAGGTTACGCAAAGGTTACGCATGCATGACTCAGCATATATTCTATTGTTGTATTGTCCAAGTTCTAGCTCGAACATGGCTGTCCCAGCTGCGATCGGTGTAGCAGGAATTGCTGTTCTTTATGCAGGGAAAAGATACTTTCAAGGGCCTCGATGCAAGAGTAACAAGAGCCTAAAAGGAAAAACCGTGGTTATCACCGGTGGAAACACTGGCATCGGTAAAGAAACCGCGGTGGATTTAGCCAGGCGTGGAGCAAGGGTCATAATCGGCTGCAGAAACCTACAAAAGGGTAAAGAAGCACTGAATGAAATAAAAGAACGAAGCGGAAACCCCAATGTTTTCCTTGAGGAGATAGATCTTGCCTCTTTGGCGTCAGTTCGCAAGTTTGCAGATACAATTCTCAACAGTGAACCTCGTCTAGACATTCTGATCAACAACGCGGGAGTGATGGCCTGCGCATATCAGAAGACAAAAGATGGATTTGAGATGCAGTTTGGTACGAATCATCTTGGGCATTTCTTGCTGACGATGCTGCTTCTGGACCGACTGAAGCTTTGTCAGCCGAGTCGTATCATAAACGTGTCTTCGTCCGCTCACAGAATGGGAAGTGGCAAGATCAACTTTGAAGATCTAAACTATGAAAAGAGCTACAGCAGCTGGGGTGCATACTTCAACAGCAAGCTTGCAAACGTGCTTTTCACACGCGAATTGAGCAAACGCCTTGAGGGTACCCACGTGACAGCGAATTCACTGCATCCTGGAGCAGTCATCACTGATTTGCAGCGCCACTCTTTTATAGGAAGTGGTCTGCTCTTTCCCCTTCGCTGGTATACATTTAAGACAGCCGAACAGGGAGCCCAAACTTCCATTCACTGTGCAGTCTCTGAGGAGATGGAAGGTGTCAGTGGAAAATATCTGCGAGATTGCACCATTGTGGAAGAATCCAAGGGGGCCCAGGATGATGCCGCAGCCAAGAAGCTATGGGATCTGAGCGTGAAGCTGGTTGGGCTGGAAAAATAGACAATTCGAAGATGGAAGTGTCTAGCTACAGCTTTACATATTAGGCTGGACATTTGTACCATTTTCCTTAACTTCTTTAGCATTCAAGAACCACATAATACAGTTAGATACATGTGTAGAACAGTTTTAAAAAAACTGGGCATAACACATGATAAACATAAAAACTATGATTCATTGTAGTACATAAGGTTCTTTAAACACATTCTACATGTAAGAAAAAGTATGTGTTCCTTAAAAAGGCAGCATTACAAGGATTAGGGCTATGTTAACCTTGATTTATGATATTGATAGAAACTAACTAGTGCTTGAAATAGGAACTGGGCATAATCTGTTAATGTAACCTGTTGTATTTGAATAAAGTGTGAAGACTGACGGGGTCAAATGGTTCCTTGAAATCTCGGTATAATTTGTGATGTGCTTCAAACTATTGTTTTTGTGCATTTCTTTCCATTTTTTGTTTTTATAGACATTCATAAAGCAAGCATTCTGTAGTTCTAACCTATTTGAATTGCCTTTGCTTTTATCAAACGGCCACAGTATGAAAAAGGATACGCTATTTATGGACTAGGCACCATGTAAACAATACCCTGTTCAGCAACACACACCTAAATAGCTTAAATGCGAGAGTACCTCTCTGAGTAATTTGTCAGACCCTACATATTTTGAGGGAAACTCTCAATCTGATCTGCTCATCCAGCCTTTAATGCTTTCTTCAATAATCTTGATTTTTTGAGTTGCTTATTCTGTAAAGAGTCTGATCAGAGTGAAATCTGTTGACTTTGCTTTTTTTTACTTTGAAATATGCAAATGTACTTTCTGCTTGAATGATTTAGTTTATTCAGCTGCCTTCCTAGCCCCTCTAATGTTTGCTTTAGTCGGATTTGAAATGTAAAATGATTGACTTTGAAAGCAGTTTCTGTCTGAATATTATTTTAACTTCAAAGGAATGTGACAGCCTGGGAGAGGTTTAATTACTGTTTGTGTGTCAAACTAGGATACCTAATAAATTCGAGAGAAGCATCAACCTGCCGCTCTTTTTCTTTCACTCCAAATATATATCAACAATTCCAGTCCAGTCAGTACAGAATTTGCCAAAGGCAATTTTATCATTGTCTTGGCCCCATTTAGTCTCCATTGCAACCGTCACGCAGTAGAAACGGCTGCCAAGGAGACTAGGCCTCATTGTATCACCCTTTCTGTAATAAAAGCAACAACAACTTTATCTAAGCTTTTTACTTGAGGGGAGGGGACAGGGGTGGGTTTGTTCCAGCTTGCCTCCCCGCCCCCCCCTAAATGCCGTAGTTAAGCGTTGGAGACTACGATCAGACAAACGGCCCGACTTCACACTCACCCCCTCAACAAAACCCAAACCCAAATACCCGCTGCTGGAAAACAAACCTTATATCGGACCTCTTAAGACCTCTTATATTGTAGCATTGCGAACAGCAGACGTATTTCCGGTCGTCGCTTCTCGCCCGGAAATCAGTCTGCTGGTCGCAGGCTACTGATATTGCTGACAATGACTTATTTTAAAGCGTAAGCGTGACTCGGCAATTCATTAACTCACATTCACCCCCTTGACCGCACCCAAACCCACCTACTCCCTGCTGGAAAACAAGCCTTGTGGTTACTAAAAATTAATTTTGAAAAAAAAACTAAAGCACTGATCTTCCAAAAACAAAACTGTAAATCAACATGAGACAAATACCCCACGGTCCTAAATGGGAATCAAATCTCCAAAGTCACAGAATACTCTTATCTGGGCATAACGCTTAATTCAAATGGAAGTTTCTAAATTTCCAAACAATTATCTGCACAGAAAATAAGAAGATCAATATTTGGTACAAAACGTTTTCTTGAATTTAACAAGCTTCCAGTTGCTGTATGCAATAAACTTTATGATGCTCTATTTCTTCCTATATTACGATACAGCTCTGAGGTATGGGGTGCTTACGACAGAACTGATGCTAAGAAATAATAATAATTATTATTATTATTAGAAACGGGAAAAAGACCCCATTGAAAAACTTGAAAAACTTCACACCCAATTTTACAAACATTTTATTGGTGTAAACAGAAGAGCTATAAACATCATATCTCACAATACCGTACTATCACTTAAATCTAATATTAGCATAAGTGTCATAAAATTTTGGTTACCCCTCGGACCTCTCGTTAGTTTACCCGATACTAGTATTGAAAAGCAATGTCTTTTACTTTCAAATCAACATTCAAACAGTGGAAAATCGTCTTAATTTCATGTTGTCATTTTATGAAATCAAAGCCATTCATCCTCTTCATTATTCAGCATCGTCCTATATCAATTATCTTCAGTTGTATCTTGTTAAAATTAAGCCTTTAAACTCAAGATAAAGACTGCGGTCTGATGGACGTAATACTGCTGTCACACCCCGGCGAATTTTAAAACTTTAACAACCTGGGCGACCGTGCTTTCGTTGCTTCGGCGCGTAACTCTTGAACGATTCACCTCTGGAAATTAGAATGGCCATATCTGTTGACACTTTTAAAACATTTTTAAAGACGCATCTTTTTAGTAGGGCTTTTCATTCTAAGTTAGGTTTACTTAATACCTATACACAACTATGTAATTCTATTTTATTCTTAGTTAAGTTTTTTGATATTATACACAACACATGATGTAATTCTTATTTATCATTTAGTTATTTTTATTCTAGGTACTGTTGTAATGCGCAGTTGATCTTGTCATGAAAACCGCGCAATATAAATTCTTAAATTATTATTATTATTATTATTAAATCATGAAACTACATTGTAGCACTTCTAATAATAAATTACAAGTGTCTGATATTCTTGTAGAGCCAAATTTGGTTACTCTCGAAGCTGCGTAAAATAAAACAGGCTATCATAGATGGCTTAAAAAAGTATCAAATGAAAATGTTGCAATCTTACAAAAAAATTGAACACTCTTAAGACTGACGTTAGTAGATCAGAATATTTAGACCTTATTAAAAACGAAAAACACCCCCAGGCGGAAGCAAAGTTACGATCAAGTAATCCGGCACAAGTTAAGAATTGAGACTGATAGATATCACCCTCCTAAAATTCAGAGAATCTGAGAATATGCCAGTATAAATGAGGGAATGAAATTCATTTTCTATTGGAATGCAATTTAAGAAAACGCTTTTTTCAAGACGTAGAGGCCATGCAAGTACTCCAAATTCGTTGATTTGAACAAATCGGAAAAAGTTATATCTCTTTTTAACAATATTGAGCATTTCAACTTAGAGAAACTTATTTCATGAAACAGAAGCATGGGAAATAGAGATTACTACGTTTAATTAATTACATTTAATTAATACTCTCTATTTATCAATGTAAACTAAGGCTCGAATAACCACTGCACTTACCGTGAACGGTCAATGTAGCTCAACGTTGGATCAAACAAGATCGTAATCAGTCGAAAAAGATATAAATAGAATTAAACTAAAAAAGACTACTGCAAAGACTGATCAAACAAAGTGAAAAAGGCTGAGGTATACAATATTACGACTGGCCAATACCAGTCTTCATCAGGTTTATTAGGAAAAATATATACTTAATAAGTTTTATGAAGACTGGTATTGGCCAGTCGAAAGATTGTTTACCTCAGCCTTTTTCAACGTGAAAAAAGCTGAGGTAAACAATATTTTCACTGGCCAATACCAGTCTTCATCAGGTTTATTAGGAAAAATATACACCTAATAAATTTGATGACGACTGGTATTGGCCAGTCGAAATATTGTTTACCTCAGCCTTTTTCAGCTTGTTTCATCAGCCTTTGCAGCAGCCTTTTTGATTGTAATTCTACTTTTACTCTCTATTTATTCAGTTATACCATTGCTGTATATGAGAATACTATTAAAATGTTATTTTACGTTATGTTATATGTATCGGATCAGGCTTGGTATCGGACCTCTGATATTGCAGGACAATGACTTATTTTAAAACTTAAGCGTGACTGGGCAATAGCGTTGCCCGCGAATGACCTCAGAGTGAATAATTTGCAATTTTTGTCCGAGTTTTGTCATTTTTCTCATTTTAACGACAATAGACAGACAAACATGACACTTTAATGACAGAAGTCTCACAAAAGTGAGGAATTCGCTGACGTTAATTTAAGTTTGTTTGTCTGAGTTTCGGGTCTATAAAAGTAACTGCGCGCAGCGCTATTAATTAACTCAAAGATCATGGCTGTATCGGCTGCGATCGGTGTAGCGGCAATCGCTGTCCTTTATGCAGGGAAAAGATACTTCCAAGGTCCAAAATGCAATAGCAAAAGACGCTTAGACGGCAAGACTGTTGTTATCACAGGTGGGAACACTGGTATCGGTAAAGAAACCGCGGTGGATTTAGCTAGGCGTGGAGCAAGGGTCATAATCGGCTGCAGAAATCTCCAAAAGGGTAAAGAAGCACTGAATGAAATAAAAGAACGAAGCAGGAACGCCAATGTTTTTCTTGAAGAGATAGATCTGGCCTCTTTGGAGTCAGTTCGCAAGTTTGCAGACAGAATTCTCAACAGTGAACCTCGTCTAGACATCCTCATCAACAACGCTGGAGTGATGGCCTGTCCATATCAGAAGACGAAAGATGGATTTGAGATGCAGTTTGGTACGAATCATCTTGGGCATTTCTTGCTGACGATGCTGCTTCTTGACCGACTGAAACGTTCTCAGCCGAGTCGTATCATAAACGTGTCTTCGTCCGTTCATAGAATGGGAAGTGGCAAGATCAACTTTGAAGATATAAACTATGAAAAGAGCTACGGCAGCTGGGCAGCCTATTTCAACAGCAAACTTGCAAACGTGCTCTTCACACGCGAATTGAGCAAACGCCTGGAGGGTACCCACGTGACAGCGAATTCACTGCATCCTGGAGGAGTCAAGACTGATTTGCAGCGCCACTCTATTCTAGGAAGTGCGCTGCTCTTTCCCCTTCGCTGGTATACATTTAAGACAGCTGAACAGGGAGCTCAAACTACCATTCACTGTGCAGTCTCTGAAGAGATGGAAGGTGTCAGTGGAAAATATCTGCGAGATTGCGCCATTGTGGAGGAATCGAAGGGGGCCCAGGATGATGCCGCAGCCAAGAAGCTATGGGATCTGAGCGTGAAGCTGGTTGGGCTGGAAAAATAGACAATTAGAAGATGGAAGTGTCTAGATACAGCTTTACATATTAGGCTGGACATTTTCCTTAATTTCTTTACCATTTTAGAACTACACAATACAGTTAGATGTGGCTTTATTAAAATTAGGTAGATCAGATACATGCGATGCCGAGAACAGTGCTACAATAGCGTTGTCTGGGTTATCCCTCCATCCGTAGCCCTGCTACGATACTGTCCTGAGTGTCCATCGACCGATACACAGGACTGACAGGCGCTATTCACGCGATGCGCGCGCTGATATAGCGCTCGCGTACGCGTAACCCGTAAGCCGTAAGCCGTAAGCCGTAAGTCGTAAGCCGTAAGCCGTAAGCCGTAAGTCTTTCTATGACTGTGACATTTGAGTGAACGCATGTGTTTTTATCATGAGAGGCAAGAAATGATATTTTTTGCTTCCTTCTGATATCCTGGTCAACGAGCTAACTACATCTGTTCAACAAATGCAACAAGAAACCGAAAGTTGTGTTTTGGACGAAGATCCATTGGAGGTAAGCAATGAAAAAAGCGAAAACAAATCGTCGCACGTGAGAGCTATCCACCCAAGCAAGGATCTAAATAGATATATAGTGGACAAGTTCCATCAACCTACAGCCAAATCAAAGGCCGCTCCTTTTGAAGCCATCGATCTTTCCATCTATAAACCTTCAGCTAGATGCCTTGCTTTCTCGACATCTGAAGATCGCCTGTTATTATGGATTGTAGCTTTCCAATTTCGCTATTATGAAATAACCGGAAATGGAACCGATTATACTGTGATATGGGAAGAGCAAGACAACCCAAGCTCAACCTCGAAGTGCGATAAAATCTGTATTCATCTTTCAATGAATACATCCACTGGCGAAGAAAAATTGGTAACCATTACAGTTTTTGGTACAACTGGGAGGATCCTCGTGCAAGGGAAAAAATATGATGAATGGAGCAAATTCGAATTTCCGGTGATGCTGAAAATTGTCAACACTCTCAGCGATCTTCAACCTCTCTTCACTCTCTTCAGTTGGAGATGTTTCTCTCTTTGGAGCCTCGCTTCAAAACTTTTTACGAATTTCATAACATTTGTCAGAGATGATGACATCCCATCATCAAATAATTTGGACGCCGAACTTCCCTCAACAACCAAACCGGAAGCTTTATTGCCAACTGAAACACTAACAATCTCGCCAACCCGTTTAAAGACAATCTCATCCATGCGAGACACACTCGGGTAGCTAGAGGCAGATTTTACAGAATTTCATATGACCACTACCGGGGATTTGGAACAGCTAAAAGACAAAACCGTTAAACAAGATCACTTAATTAAGCTACAAAAACAATCATCTGACGATCTACTCAATGATTTTTCCTCGCAGATTACATCACTCCAAAAAATAGTCTCTCAACAATCAAGCATCATTAAAAAATTGCAAGATGAAAACCAGATCCTCCACAAGAAACACGTACAAATTGACAAAGCAAATCAGGCCCTGCAAGAATCACAAAATAATCTGATGACAGAAATTCATTTCCTTAAAGAACAAATGACAGCGCTTTGGCAAAACTCGAAGGAACCTGACCCCCCCAGCCCTTCCTCACAACCCGAGTCTTCTTGCTCCGAAAACACCACTGACAGCGAACAAAAAAAAATACGGACTGTGAGGCATCTCGACTACCCATCACAGCTCAAAAGCTTACAGTAAATATTCCCACGGAAAACAGGTTTTCGCTGCTCCAGAATTGTGACACATCTGACAGCTTATCCAACACACAGCAAGAAATTGTCTCGAGACAAACACAGAAAATATGACTCCACCTACTCCACAAGACATCGCGCCACCGCCGATCCAAGCATCAGTAAACAATAAAGCCGTTTTTCTGTGCGATTCGAATGGAAAATTTATCGACAAAAGAAAGCTTTTTCAACCAACACAAGATTTCACATTCTTCAGATGTCCCAAAATTGAACACGCAAGGGCTATTTTACAAAATGAAATTGATAAAGAATCGGCTGGACATCCTCAATTAATCATAATCCACACCGGAACAAATGATCTTACTACAACCACGCCAATAGACGACTTCATCTCTGATATATCTGTATTAATCACTCAAGCATCTACAAAGTTCCCAAAGAGCAAAATCGTTTATTCAACTCTCTTGCCGCGAACTGACATTCCCCTGCATACTTTATCCAAAATAAACACAAACCTTATTGACAGCTGCTCAAAACTACCAAACGTCCATCTAGTTAATCATGACAATATCTTCTCCAAGGGAACTGAAGTGTTGCATGACAGAAAACATCTTAAAAAAAGACACCTTGGTTTGTTCGCAGCAAACTTAAAAGCAGCCATTCGTGGTAGAGGAAAACCACCTCGCGCCAACTCCAGCCAATTGTACCGATCCTCACTCTCTTCGCCGCACTCGTTTCACACTAGCCCTTCGGAAGGCTATCCTCCCTCCAGCAATGGTGTTCGGAACATACACAGCCAAGTCCACCAAACTTCGCGGCAGCAACAACCTTTACCTTCCCGTTTCCCATATACAACTTCCTCGGGTGATGCCTCTTATAGTAATGCTGTTAAAAACGGTCACAACACCTACAACATTCCGCAATCACCGCAACAGCAACAGAACTTTCCGCCGCAACACTACAATGTACAGAGCTTCTCACCGTCTCACTTAGCGGCAGTAGGACCGATTCCTTCTGTTCCTCTCCAGAACGACTGTGCTGTTGAAAAAGCCCCGGCAGTTGAAATCCCAAAGGAACTGGTATCTTAAATCCAATTTTTGAGACCCTTGTATATCTTATACATAACCCACAACTTTCAATGCTAGTTGTTGCTAGTTTCCCGGGATATCTGATTTAAGCTCTCTTTTTTTCAGGTACTAAGTTTGATACAACATGCCAGGGCCCTTAAGCTTCCCCAGCAAATTATCTTTTTTTGCTTGGAACATTAATGGGCTATCGTCGAAATTATTAGCGGAAAAATTGCAAAATTTGGATTGTAAAAACTTGATTAATTCTTTTTGATTTCGTAATTCTCTCCGAAACATGGAAAAAAAAGTGACTGTTGAAGTAAACGGTTACAAGATTGTGACTACAGATACCTTGAAAACAGGAAAATGCGGACGTAACTCGGGTGGATTAGTTTGCTCTACAAACTAAAGTTTGACGATTGGATTTCAGTGCAAAAAGAATCACCAAATTTTTATGGTTTAAAATTAGTAATCGCTACACAAAAACTACAAAAAGACATTTATGTCTGTGGAACGTACATTCCACCATACAATTCCCGCTACTTTCGACCTGAACTATTTGAAGAGCTTGAAAGCGACATCGAGAAATTCTCCTCCCTGGTTCAATTCTTATTATGGGAGACTTTAACTCCAGAGTCGGAAAACACCCGGACAGTGTTTGTCAAGAAGGTAATAAGATAATAACAAACGATTTTTCTGAATCTTCGTTATGCGCCACCCAAAGAAAAAGTTTTGACAATGATTTGAATAATCACGGAAAACGACTCTTGGAAATTTGTAGAAGCGCGGATTTAAGAATTTTAAATGGTAGAATTAATGGCGACTCGTTAGGCAGACCTACATTTCATGGTAAATCGGGAATCAGTGTCATTGATTACTCCGTATGTGACCAAGATTTGCTACGAAATATAACATCTTTTGTAGTGAAAGAGCCGAACAGTTTATCAGATCATAGTCCAATAATAACATGGCTTAAGGTTAACCGTCATTTAGATAATGATTCATCAAACGAGGCAATTATAAATGATTCTTTGACTCCTCTACCAAAACAGTTTTTTGGGAAAACGATTCGTCACAAAAATTTAGAGCTACATTACAGTCTGAAGACATTCAAAGAATGATCCACGATTTTATGAATACTACAACAATCACGAGAAATGTTGACATGAACCTTCATGCTGTAGAAAATATTCTTATTTCAACCGCCAAACGCTGTTTGAAGATCAAAACAGCAAAAAAGCGACGTTGCAAAATATCTTCGAACAAAAAATGGTTCGACAAAGAATGCCGCTATAAAAGACATGAACTGCGGAAACTTTCTAATCAAAAACATAGAGATCCTCTAAACACTACCCTCAGAGAAGAGTTTCACAACGTCTTAAAACAATATAAAAACCTTTTGAAACATAAGAGAAACGAATACTATAGCAATAAGATCTGTGAACTTGAAAATACGGTCGAAAATTCGAACAATAAGAGCTTTTGGAACTGTTTGAAGTCAATGGACGACACTATGAAGGAAACCTACACCCCTCCAATTTCTGAAGAAAAATGGATGTCCCACTTTCAATCTTTGCACTCGAATGAACCCCTTAATGAACAGCAGGAGGCAATTATAGATGAGTTGCAGAATTCAGAGGATATTACGTCACGATCTCACTCCTTGGATTACCTCATCACTGAAAGTGAAATTCGCACTGCAGTTGGAAAACTCAAAAACAACAAATCTTCTTTTTCAGACAAAATCAAAAACGAAATGATCAAATCTAGCCTAAACGAATTAATGCCTGTTTATCTAAAACTATTTAACACGATCCTCGACTTAGGAACTATGCCGCAAATGTGGTGTGATGGCCTCATTACACCAATTTTGAAATGTGGTACTAAAAGCGATCCATCAAACTACCGTGGAATTTGTATTTCCAGTTGTATTGGAAAACTATTTTGTTCAATTCTCAGTCAGAGACTTCTAAAGCACGTTGACTTAAATAATATACTTCACAAGTCTCAAATTGGTTTTCTAGCAAATAATAGAACAGCAGATCATGTCTTCACACTTCGAACATTAATAGACAAATATGTCCATTGTCACAAGGAGAAAATATATGCGTGTTTTGTTGACTTTAGGAAAGCCTTTGATTCGGTTTGGCATGATGGGCTTCTCTATAAGTTATCTAAGATCAATGTCCAAGGAAAGTTTTATAGTCTAATTAAGAGTCTATACTCGAAGTCTACCTGCTCTGTCAGGATTGGAAATAACAAAACGCGATCTTTTCAATACGCAAGAGGAGTGCGGCAAGGCTGCATTTTAAGCCCTCTGCTCTTTAACTTATACCTTAACGATCTAGCGTTCTCATTTGACAATGTTTTATCAGACCCCTTCGTGTTACCAAATGGCACCAGACTCAACTCTCTCCTTTACGCAGATGACTTGATAATATTATCGCGATCCAAACTTGGTCTACAAAACTGCCTTAACGTACTATCTTCATATTGCAACTCATGGATGCTTAGAATAAATCCTAAGAAAACCAAAATAATGATTTTTCAACGATGCACACGAAAATGTGAACATAACTTCCGCATAGGCAATGAAGTAATCGACGTTGTCCAAAACTATACTTACTTAGGAACTCGAATTACATCTTCCGGAAATTTTACACTTTCGCTTGAACATCTCCGACAAAAAGCTCTTCACGCGCTCTTCAGCCTCAGGCGACACACGGATTTGAATAATCTTAAGCCCTCACTTGCGTGTAAAATTTTTGACTCTATGATTTCACCAATTCTAACCTACAACAGCGAAGTTTGGGGTGCTTTTGTTAAATCAGATTTTAAGTCCTGGGACAGCTCTGCAATTGAAAAAACCCATTTGCAATTCTGTAAACGTTATTTACAAGTACATAACAAGGCATCCAACATTGCTTGTAGAGCTGAACTCGGTAAATTTCCCATGATCATTGATATAAATAAAAAGATTCTAAATTACTTAGACTATCTGAGAGGTAAGGATGAAGATTCTATAGTTAAACAGGCCTTACAAATTTCAATTGACCTTCATCATAACGGAAAAACTAGCTTTTACTCTAATCTCATGAAAATGGTTGACTACTATGATCTAAACTATGACTTTTCCTGTAATTCATTGAGTGACTCAATAGTTAATAGGTATATCGGCATAATGAAAAATAAATACGTCTCTTACTGGAATCAGACACTTCAACAATCACAAAAACTCAGTTTTTATTGTACAATCAAAGACGACTATAGCCCCTCGCCGTACCTAGTTTTAACAAGAAAAAACCCTTCGAGAAAAACATTAGTTAGATTTAGAATAAGTAGTCTTCAACTTAGAATTGAAACAGGTAGATACGAAAACATTCCTCGCAATGAAAGGATATGTCACTTTTGTACAAGTAAGAAAATCGAAGATGAAAATCATTTCTTACTAGATTGTAAGGCTTATTCTCAGATCAGAGACATATTTTTCTCGAAACTAGAAACTAAAATACCTGACTTCAAATCACTTTCACACGATACTTTAATATCTCTTCTTATGAATTCTTCTGATTATTTAATTAACTGTCAATTAGTTTCATTTATCTCGCAATGCTTAGAATTAAGGACCAAATTAATATCAATGAATGAATGAATGAGAACTGTCACGTTTTGTAATGTTTTGCACGTACTAATTAGTTGAATTAGTACTTAAATTTAGATTAATAGCTTTTGCAATACTGTAATTCCTTTATGGTCATGCAAATAAAGCTTTTGGTGTTGTTGTTGTTGTTGTAAGCCTGGTACCCTCAGAAAACGGTCGAAATTTTCGCTAATGAGACTGTCAGCCGGGTTTAAAAATTTTGCTCTATTCTTAGTTTACGAAAGCTACGAAATTTCTAGGCGCCGAAATCAGAATCTAAAGATTACTACGAAAGCTACGAAATTTCTAGGTGATCTAGGGATTACTACAAAATACGAAATTCTTAGGTGAACAAACCACAGAAATCCCGAAACTCTGAGCCCAACGAACAGTCACCACGAAACATTTTCGAAATTTTTAGCTGTTCTTGGGCTCCCGAAAATTTTAGCCATTCTAGAGGGCTCCGAACAGATATTTCCCCGAAAACGGTCGTTGGGTGCCCCTGAGTTTTATAAAAACTGGGCAAATAAACACACGATAAATATGAAAACTATGATTCATTGTAATGTAGAATATCAGGTTCTTTAAACGCTACATGTAAGAGAAGGGATGTGTTCCTCAGGAAGACAGCATTACAGAGGTTAGGGATATTTGGTCGCGCTTGCGTAAGCAGCGAGACTCGTAATCGGCAACGCGTTTTTTGTCGTATTTTGTACACAAATGGGGGCTCATTGTGCCAGGCGTTCCTTGCGGAGACCGTGGAAAGTGGGACTAAGAATCGTTGCGTGATTGAAGCCACCCATGTTTTGCGAAGAAAGCTTAGGGAGGATTAAATTTAGAACTTTTCGGAAACGTGTCGGTCCACAAATTCTATCGCTTGAAAGCGTTGATTGCTTTGGAACAAGTGAACACTTCTGAGTGGTCGGAAAAAAAAAAATGATGGTAGGGTGTTGTAAACTTTCATTGTATGCAAATGGTCTTGTGATGAGCATGGGGTTTAATTTCGGCGATGATTGAAATAACGTGCAATATGTAAATCATAGCCTGCGTAGCAGGCGCTTGGAAGTAGAGGGCACAAGAAAAAACGGGCGCGCGAGAAGGAGACACGCGAGGGGAGAGGTACTCGACTGTCTCCCTCGCGCGCGCCCGTTCTCTCTTTCGCCCACTACTTCCAAGCGCCTGCCACGCAGGCTATGTAAATCACGTTTTTGATCTCTGGCAATGATTGGCAATGATGTAATTTCTCTGGAATCGAGGCCCTTGAATTTTCGTATATTTATATACGCGTATAGCCTGCGACCGCAGACGTATTTCCGGTCGTCGCTAACACGCGTACTAAATCAATTCAGAAACAAATAAAAAGTATCGACGTCGATAAAGTAGGAAGTGCAAAACATTTAGCGAGTAAATCCTGTTTCGTGTAGAATTAATCGCCTCCTCATTTTTCGATCTTATCTCCAAGCAAGCGAGACTGACGCCTCTGTAAGAGCGTTCTTGTTTAACTAAAAGTAATGATATTAATGGCAACTAACTAATTCTTGAAATAGGAACAGGGGATAGACTGTTGTAACCTGTTGTGTTTGAATAAAGAGTGAACATTGACAGGGCCATGGGGTTACAAATGGTTCTTATAAATCGTTGTTCTCCAAAAGTTTCACTTTAATCTTGAAATCTCAGTAGAATTTGTGAAGAGCCTGGAACTATTGATTTTCTGCATTGATTTCCATCTCAAATTTTGAAAAGTTTTGCCCCGAGGTGCGAGATTTGTCATCAAAAGACTTGGGGTCTTGAATGTTACATTTTACCTATAGGAAGGGAGTGTTCATCTTCTTTGATCCCATTTCATGGAGAGAAAATAGAAACATCACACCCTATGGGGAAAATCAAAAACATAAAATTGTTTCAATAGGTTGGTTTTATTTCTTTTTTACAGACATTCACAAAGCAAGCGTTCTTAAGTTCAAACCTATTTGAAATGCCTTTGCTTTAATCAAACGGCTATAGTATCAAAAAGGAATATCCTATTTATAGAGTAAGCACCATAAAAACCATACTCTCTTCTGCAGCATACTCCTATATAGTTTAAATGCGAGAGGACCTCTCTGAATAATATGCCACCCTTATATAATTTAAAGGAACCTCTTAATCTGATCTGTTCAGCTAGCCTTTAAAGGAGTTTCAACGTGGGTATGCTTTCCTCAGCAATATTTATTATTTGAGTTGCTTATTCTGTGAAGAGTCAGATCAGTCAAAACTTATGAATTCTCTTTACTTTGCAAATTATGCAAATGTACTTTCTGCTTGAATGATTTAGTGTTTTCAGCTGCCTTCCTGACCCCCTCTAATGTTTGCTTTAGTCGGATTTGAAATGTCAAATTGTTGATTTAGTAAGCAGTTTCTGTCTGAATATTATTTTACCTTCAAAGGAATGTGACAGCCAGGCCCAGGGGTGAGGGGGAGCACTCCGGATTTTAAGTGACAGGTATGATCAAATGGGGGCAACAATCAAAACCCAAAATAATCCCTAGGGTTTCCAACATAACTTTAAAATATCCCTGGACCAAAAATTAACTCCCTACTTAAATCAAGCCACCCCAAAAAGTACGTGCCAAACTTTTCTACCCCCAAAACTCCCGGAAACGAAAATTTCAAAGCCCCAAAAAATCATTCGATCATCCCTGTCACTTGAAATCTGGAGTCTCCCCTGGGCAACCAAGTACAGTTTTAAATTACTGTTTGTGTGTCAAACCAAGACTGGACACCTAGGAAACGGAGTCAACTTGTTGTTCTTTTTCTTGCGCTCCAAACATTAGATATCAACAATGCAAGTACGGACTTTGCCAGCAATCTTATCATTGTCTCGGTCCCATTTAGTCTCCATTGCAGCCGTCACGCAATAAAAACGGCTGCCAAGGAGACTAGGTTCCATTGTATCACCCCAGTAAGAGTTTTGTAATAAAAGTTGCTGTGATCCACCTAGCCTCCACATATACTTTCAACTTGCCGTAGATGGGGGAAGGAGTAAAAGAGACCCGACGATCAGAAAAACCGCCCGACTCACACTCACCCCCTTTGCAAAACCCAAACTCATCTACACCCTCCTGGGAAAAACTTCATATCGGACAGTGTCCAAAGGGGCGTAAGCGTGACTCGGCAAGATGGCTGTTCCTGCTGCGATCGGTGTAGCGGCAATCGCTGTCCTTTATGCAGGGAAAAGATACTTGCAAGGCCCCAAATGTAACAGCAAAAGAGGCCTAGACGGTAAGACGGTTGTTATCACAGGTGGAAACACTGGTATCGGCAAAGAAACCGCAGTGGATTTAGCCAGGCGAGGAGCGAGGGTCATCATCGGCTGCAGAAATCTCCTAAAGGGCAAAGAAGCATTGAATGAAATAAAAGAACGAAGTGGAAACTCGAATGTTTTCCTTGAGGAGTTAGACCTGGCTTCGTTAAAGTCTGTTCGCACGTTTGCCGACAAAATTTTAAGCCTTGAATCCCGCGTTGATGTCCTCATCAACAATGCTGGAGTGATGATGTGCCCATATCAGAAGACTGAAGATGGATTTGAAATGCAGTTTGGTACGAATCATCTTGGGCATTTCCTGCTGACGATGTTACTCCTTGACCGACTGAAGCGTTCACAGCCGAGTCGAATCATAAACGTGTCTTCGTCTGCTCACAGGATGGGAAGTGACAAGATCAACTTCGCAGACATCAACTTCGAAAAAAGCTATGACAGCTGGGCCGCCTATCATAACAGCAAGCTTGCAAACGTGTTATTCACACGCGAGCTCAGCAAACGTCTGGAGGGCACCCATGTGACGGTGAATGCACTGCACCCGGGGGTTGTCACAACCGAGCTTCAGCGCCACATGTTTTTGTCTAGTAGTCTGTTCTACCCGATCCGCTGGTACATGTTCAAGACAGCAGAACAGGGAGCACAGACCTCTATTTACTGTGCAGTCTCTGAAGAGATGGAAGGTGTAAGTGGAAAATATCTGCGAGATTGTTCCATTGTGAAGGAGTCCAAGGGTGCTCAAGATGATGATGCAGCCAAGAAGCTGTGGGATCTGAGCATGAAGATGGTTGGTTTGGAAAAATAAAGCTGAACGGAATCTCCTCTCATGACATCTTTCCATAACTGATTTTCAAAACCCTTTGTTTTTACTACTATAAGGTCACTAAAAAATTTATGAATATTGTGAACTCTCCAAAATACCAGAAAGTCCAGCAAAAATGACTTTAAAGTAGTTCTGTAGCCGTTTCCACATACTGTACCATGTTTTTACCAACGCTTATGATCCCCAAGAATTATAAGTTACACGTAAGACAACCTGAGACGAATAGCAAAAAGTGGCTAGCATTTGTATTTGGAAAAATAAAAAAAAAAAAAACAGTCATTATAGTGATATAAACGGCACATGTAATGATATTAGTTTGTAGAAACGAAACCGATGATTGGGAAGTGTGACAATTAATAACGTCTATTTTACTTGAATTTGACAATGGATCATCTGAACTGTCTGGCTACTGCAGTATTTAGTGTTGTGTCATTTAGTACTAGGGGCGAATTCAGAAATTTTTGATTAGGAGGCTGCAATGTTAAAGTGGAAGACCTCTTTCAGTTGTTAATTAGCCTGTCCACGGATGTTATTCTTTCTTCCTCTTTTTTTCGACAATTCGACAGCGCCCGAGCTAAGAAAAGGAAAAGAAGAGGTTTATTATAACCTCCGCCACCAGCCTTGCGATTGCGGTCAATAAATCCTCCGCGGTTTTTATTTACTTACGAGCGCGCGACGATCTCTAACTAAGAGCCTGTTTACATGGAGGTGGGGGACCCCAGGTAGGTAAGGTAACCCGCTTTGGTGGGGTAACCCGAAACATGTTATCTCACCTATCTGGAGTCCCCCACCTCCATGTAAACAGGCCCTAAAAGGGAAAACAGAGGGTCTGCGAACAGGCTAAATTGCGACAAGATGAATCAATTCCGGCTACCGTGGGAAGTAAATTTCAAAGTTTTCATGGATGTCCCCAACCGATGAAGAAAAAGGGGAACAACTTTTTTGCACTAGGGATATTAGTAAGGAAAAAATGTGAATAAAAACTTTTCAAGAGTCAAAGCGATTTCCGCCGTGTCCGGGGTACGGTGAAGAAAAAAAGGGAGAGCATCCTCCCCGAAGAGAGTATGGGTAGACTGGAAAACTAGTTCAAGAGTCGACAGTAATAATATCCAGCGGCTTCAACAAAGAATACAAAATGGCGGCTCGACAAGGCTTTCGCGTAAGAAAAGTGCACCTCTCTCTTTTACAGGAACGTCAAACAAATTTAAACCTTAACCAATTTTTGTCTTTTTAGGTAATCTCTAGGTTATCTAGAGGGATTCACACCTCTTGCCGAAGGCAGTTTTTGATTCCTATGGTCATCGAACAGACGGTATAAAACCTTATTAACGTATGAAAGTACAAAGTTACATCATCGATGTAGGGATGATGGATATATGATCACACTAAACGGGGTAAACAACATAACCACATTTTCTGTGGGATACAGAACAAAAACAGTACCATTTCTGAGGGCTTCTAAGAATAAATGGTAATTTTTATTAGGGAACTCTAGGCAGGAATAATTTTCTGAAGGGCTCAGGAAAAAACTCCTCATCAGTGGGGGTACGGGTAGGTAGGGGTCGAGAAATTAAATTCAAAGACCCTAAGAGATAACAGAATTTGGATCTATGTGACTGCGTGATGCAGTTCAAAACCCACATTTGATTTCACCCTTGCACACCTTCGAGTCTCTAGTAGTTCAGTGGTTAGAGCGACTGGCTAGATCACAGGGGGTCATGGGTTCAAATCACATCGAAAGTTTGGTTTTTTCCCCTTGTTTCTATTTGATGCAAGAACGTATCATGTTGGTGTACTTCTACAAACGATTTGCTGAGTGGTTGAATGGTTGCATCTATGATATGCCTTAATGTGACTGTGCTATGAGTCATATTTGTGCTGATTCCACTATGTGACTGCATGATGCAGTTCTAGTCAAAAACTGACATTTCACCCTTGCTGGTCCTCGAGAGTGCAGTAGCTCAGTGGTTCGAGCATCCAACTAGATCATGTAAGGTCATGGGTTCAAATCCCATCTGGGGCTCAAATTTATTTTCCAAGTTTCCATTTGGTGCAAAAATGTAATTATGATATCATGTTGTTATAAATATCATTCGTATTCTAAATTTAATACATTATTCTTTCTAGGGCAGAGGTGAAAGAGCATATGACATTTTTTCTCGTCTTCTTAAAGAGCGGATAGTGTGTGTCATGGGGCCTGTAAGTAACTTAGTTAAGGCCATTCTCTGCTATTTTCTGGCATGGAGGGTACTGGAATGTCACTATATTTCCTTGAAGCAAGCATTGGGTGATCCCACAAACCTTCTCAGGATTGCTTATGTTTAAAAATTTTGTTTACTCCTGTAGACATAAGGACAAAGTAGATGACCAACAGCAAAACAACTGATCAGATGAAAATATGTCTGGAATTTCGATTTTGTTGTACATAATCTTTTAATCTTTTTGGGGATATTATTTTACAGATCACAGATGAAACATCCAGCCTTGTAGTGGCTCAGCTTCTCTTTTTACAGTCAGAGAATGGCCGCACTCCTGTCCATATGTACATCAACAGTCCAGGTAGGAATGACACAGAAGTAACCAATTTCCTGATGTGTTAACTTGCCTTCTGACTTGGTGTACCTTTAAATTGGCAGGGCAAATTACTGATCTTTCATTTCCCATTTTTTTCTTAATAAATTCAACAGGTGGCTCTGTCACAGCAGGCTTGGCTATTTATGATACAATGCAGGTTGGCATCTTACATGCATTAAGATTCTCTTAAGCTTCCATGCAAAGACTTGAAAAGTGTCGCCTATTTTAGTTTCAATTCATTTGGTACAAAGTACCCTAGCGATAACAATGTTTTTATGTTCCCTGTTGGTGATGGAATTACCATTTCATCATGGTCATCCAAGCCACAGATAGGTGTAATCTTTTACCACTGGAACAACTAGTTGTCGCTGATTATTGGCCTTAGCCTGTACACAGACGTTTTATTTTTCTTTCCGTTCATTTCAATGAATGAGCAAGGAACGCGAGAAAGATAATATATATTTTCTTCTTCCCCCACCTCTACCCCCTTGCACTGGCGGTCAATAAATCCCCCTCAGTTTATATTTTATCATGGGTGCTCAACGGACTTTGAAGAGAAAATAGATGATCTGTGAACAGGCTATATTGGCCTGGACCTTTGACATTTCACACCACAGATGAATGTTCTATAACTGAACTAGCCTGCTTCTGTTACAACAACAATCTGTGTGGGACTGAGGAAATTTATGCCTAATATCCACTTAAATAGTGAACTACACTGGTTTCATGAGATAACAGTAGATATTTACTAGCAGTAATATTTCTGTGATTCCTTTTTTAGTACATTCAGCCTCCTATCTCTACATGGTGTATGGGACAGGCCTGTAGCATGGGATCACTGTTGCTAACAGCTGGTACTCCAGGTCTTAGGCACTGCTTACCTAATTCCAGGGTTATGGTGCATCAACCACATGGTGGAGCTCGGGTATGAATCTCAGATTCCTGACATATTGTGAAGTAGTAGTTTACAGAGGGTTTGGGAGCCAGAGAAGTATATGACAAGTTTGTTCACAGATAGAAGACTAGGGAGATGCAGGACTGTCAAAATGTTTTCAAGTAGCAGGCTGATAATGAATAGTAGGCGGCTTTGGAACTCGAACCAAAGACACAAGTTCTTGAGGGCCCAGGTATCTAGGGACATTTTGAAATTTGGAGTCTTAGAAATGGCATTTCCAGGGGTTTTCAAGAGGTATTTTCCACTGTGGATGCTATGTTGTTTTGTCAGAATACATGCAAGACTGGGAACAATGCTATCGAAATGTCGCAGGCATTACACTACATCGCGTAGTTCGAACGTTGTACAGATCTAAACCTGTTCAAATATGCGTTCAATGTCATTCAAAACTGGAACACGGATGCTTTACAATTTTATTCGATGGTGCTTATTTTTTTGTTAGCAGTTAAGGGAGAAGGAGATGAAAGTAGCTGGCTAAGGATGCCTAACTAGCCAGCGGTTTTGGCCGGCTACTGGCCCTTATTGACAGCCCTGGAGATACAGTAATAATTACTACATTTACCACCAAAACCACTTGTTACAACAAGTTTGTTTTATAGCAGCAGAACCAGAACAGTAGTTTTTCTTTCAAACTTCACAGCTGAGGATTGGCACATTGCATCCCTGCTCATATCTGTTAGGCTGGCATACCTATCTGTTGTACCTCACTTTCATTAATTTATTTTTCTAGGGGCAAGCTACAGACATTGCCATTCAAGCTGAGGAGATTTTAAACCTAAAGAAGTTAATAAACAACATCTACGTGAAACACACTGGCCAGCCAATTGAAGTAATAGGTATGATCCCATTTTCATTAGAAAGGGAGGAGGAGGCAGTTGTTATTCTGCAAAATTTACCTTGTATAAGTAATGTTGATGAGTACTATTTTGATACTATTTTTAAAGCCATATGCTTTCTCAGGAGAACAAAAGATAAGCCCAAGCCTTGAAAACACTTACATAGAAGAAAATCTTCTAGTTCTAGCTTCAAGTTTATTCTGGCAATATATGAGGTATTACCTGGTACCTACACCAATAAGAAACTTAGAGCCACAGATCAGTTTCTTTGTTCATGCATGCATCCTTGTGTTTATTTTGTATTTAAATCTTGCAGAGAAAGAACTTGAAAGGGACAAGTTTTTGTCTGCTGATGAGGCAAAAGACTTTGGTCTGGTTGACAGAGTTTTATCGCATCCTCCAATCACAGAGAGCCCATTGTCAAATGGTGATAAAGTGGATAGCTAACATAGTTTGCTGAGGACTAGATTAAACTTGGAATAACTCCTTTGCTTAGCTTCAAAATCAATGTTTTAAACTTCAGTTTGACTGATAAAAGTAAGGGGGTCAACAGTGTTTCCCCAACTGATAGACCTTATCCTCTGTTAAGAGCAAAAAAACATGTCCGTTTTTAATATTGGCCTTTTGTCCATTGAATAGATACGTTTTTCCTGCTCTCAGTTCTTGCTGCTCCTTGACCTTTATACCCAGTGTTGGTGGGGCCAATAGATTGTCTTTATTAGGTACACTTCCCAAGGGCTGCCAACAGCAGAATGCATTCAGTTATAAATCATTCTTGAATACAAGTTTGGTTTGCCCACTTGGTACTCCTGGAATCCTTTCATAAGTTAGCTTTCTTCGCTTAGCAGGTAAGTATGATGAGAAGAGTGACCAGTCATCCAAATCTAAAGTTTAGTTGGCATAAATTAAATACGGTCAGTGGATTTCCTTTAATTTGAATTGTAAATTTATTGAGAAATACAACCTTGAAGCTCAAGGACCCTCAGCATTTGAGTAGCAAGATTGTTTTCTTTTAGCTTAAAATTTTGACCAGTGTGGCCTTACATAATTCCTGCGTTTACCATCTAATGTAACTTTTGTAATAATGGCGTTTTGTTACTCTTTAGTTAGCGCTAACCTAGTTTACATTTGTTTTCCTGCGCGTGCAGTGCGTTTGTTATTGACTTGTTGAAAATATCGCGATATTTTAATGAATACATTATCCTGCCAGTGAAGCGAAGTGAGAAACTTCAGCAATGCAAAGTAAAAATACCTGAAAAAATGTTCGTGTTGCTTTGTTCAAAGTGTGCACTTGCTTTTTCACAGGCTGTTAGCAACAGTGCTCATTTTACTTATATTACAAAATGTTCATTGTACATACCCTCTTGAGGTTGTTGTATCCAAGGTATCTCCCGTCCTCCCTTGTATGCCTGTAATAAGTTTAAACAAAAACAGTAGTTCTTTTGTTAACTCTGGAAGAGTGCTTTCCCTCTTTATTGCCAAAATAGGGGTTTAAGTGGACCTTAATATGGACACCTGCATATTACACGCACGGACTCTCGGAAAGACGAATTTAGCTGTTGAATGTTCTTCAAGTTCCTTTTTATGGTACAGAGTACAGCAATAACGAGGTAGGACTAAGGCCGAGCAACCCGTGAATGTTTTTATATAAATATTTTGAATCAAGCTTCAGAAGCTTCTCTGGCATAATCCCACGCCTTCTCGGTCAATGCATTTCGGTGACGTATCCCTTGGGACGAGGCAATATCGGAGTTGCTGAGCGTAAGCGTGACTTAGCACTTAAGAAGTAACTCAAAGTAAGATGGCTGTTCCAGCTGCGATCGGTGTAGCGGCAATCGCTATCCTTTATGCAGGGAAAATGTACTTTCAGGGTCCCAAATGTAAAAGTAAAAGACGCCTAGACGGCAAGACTGTTGTTATCACTGGTGGAAACAGTGGTATCGGCAAAGAAACCGCAGTGGATTTAGCCAGGCGAGGAGCAAGGGTCATAATCGGCTGCAGAAATCTCCAAAAGGGTAAAGAGGCACTGAAAGAAATTAAAGAACGCAGTGGAAGCTCGAATGTTTTCCTTGAAGAGTTAGACCTGGCTTCGTTAGAGTCTGTTCGCACGTTTGCCGACAAAATTCTGAACCTTGAATCCCGCGTTGATGTCCTCATCAACAACGCTGGAGTACTGATGTGCCCATATCAGAAGACAAAAGATGGATTTGAAATGCAGTTTGGTACGAATCATCTTGGGCATTTCCTGCTGACGATGTTACTGCTTGACCGACTGAAGCGTTCACAGCCGAGTCGAATCATAAACGTGTCTTCGTACGCTCACAGAATGGGAAGTGACAAGATCAACTTCGCAGACATCAACTTCGAAAAAAGCTATGACAGATGGGCCGCCTATTATAACAGCAAGCTTGCAAACGTGTTATTCACACGCGAGCTCAGCAAACGCCTGGAGGGTACACATGTGACTGTGAATGCACTGCACCCGGGGGCTGTCAGTACCGAACTACAGCGCCACATGTTTTTCTCCAGTTTTTGGTTCTATCCAATCCGTTGGTACGTGTTCAAGACCGCAGAACAGGGAGCTCAAACTTCCATCCACTGTGCAGTCTCTGAAGAAATGGATGGAGTTAGTGGAAAATACCTGTGTGATTGCCGCATTGTGGAGCCATCCAAGGGTGCCCAAGATGATGATGCGGCCAAGAAGCTGTGGGATCTGAGCATTAAGATGGTTGGTTTGGAAAAATAAAGCTGAACGGAATCTTCTTTTATGAGGAGATCTTCCTATTGATTTTCAGAACTCTTTTTTTTTTTGACTACCCAGTAGTAGTAGTAGTAGTAGTAGTTAGTCACTAAAAAATTCATGAACTTTGTGAACTGTCCAAAATTTACGGTCAAACCCCCTCTTTACGGACACTCGCTTAATACGGACACCTCATTATTAAGGACAGTTTGCTTTGACCCTGTGGATTGAAAGCCTTTACATTTTCTCTAAGTTCGACCCGCTTAATACGGACACCCCGTCAATACGAACACTTTCTATGGTCTCCTGTGTGTCCGTATTAACGTGTATTAGTTTGAAGAATTGAAACCGATGATTGGGATGTATACAGTTCATATACGTGATAGATGAGCCTGTCTACTTAGCTGTAATGAATTGACAATAAAGGGTCTGTACTGTCTGACTGTGTAGTGTTGTGTCATTACTTGGGGCGAGTTCAAAAACGTTTGATTGGAAGGTTGCAATGTTAAAGTGTTGTGGGACTTTCAGATTGATTTTAGCCTGTGAAAACAGCCGTCCCTCCTCGCTCCCCAAAAACGTCCCTAGCGGCGAGGAGAGAAGAGAGAGGGCTGTTTTCGCAGGCTAAATTGATTTCTGCAGAAGTGAATTTCAGAGTTTTGTGTACGTATAAAGAGGTGGAAAGGAACGCTTAAGGGAGGTGGACACCAGCATATTTCACACACGAACTCTTAAAAAGATGAATGTAGCTGTTGAGTTTTCTTCATTTTCCTTATGGTACATGCAGAGTACAGCAATCCCGAGGAAGGACTAAGGCAGAGGCAACCCGTGAATGTTTATAAATATTTTAAATCAAGCGCTTTTCTGTTATAATTTGTTGGATTCTCCTTGGCTTCTAGAATAAAAAAAATGTGATAATAATTCCCCGTTTTTTTCAATGAGAAAGAGGTTTTTGATTTCTCGCAATGAACGTGTACAAAATGTTGCCTTTTAGGGTAACGGACTCTGTGTACTGCTTTTCCTCGCATTATTTCGGTGTTTCTTACAAACTACAGTCGAACCCTTATTAAGCGACCTCGGCTCCTATTAAGCTGCCAGTAACCAAAGTCCCAAGTCGAAAAGAATGGGGAATTAACCCTCTATTTAGCGGCCACCTTTTAGCTGTCCCAGAAGAGTTAGTCCATTGTTTTCACCTCTATTAAGGGGCCATCAAGCGCTTGATACACTTAGCTTGGCTTTGTTTTAAGGACATGATGAAGGAAAATAAAGTCCGAGATAGAAAGTGACGACCGATTATACGCCATTAGTGCTGCTCCTGTCACGTGTTTGTTTCAAGGCGTTTCTGCGAAAGATTATGCTTATTTATGACAAACCTCTATTGAGCGGCCAACCTCGTGCCAGTACCGTAAGGGTGGCCGCTTAAAGGGGGTTCAACTGTAATCTGTTTCAAAAAGGGACTCCGAAGTATTTTGTCCACTTACCCTTTGAGGAATAGACTCTGTATTGGCGCCAGTGGATTTCTCAATGCCAAGGCTAAATCTCTTGTGTTGACTGGCGACACTATTCTCTCCCAACACCTGACCAGCTAAACAATAAGTGCGCCTCTGTGGCTGAGCGATTCCCACCTTTGTGGGCGGCACATGGAAGTTCTCATCTCCAAGGTTTAGCACACGCATGGGATGCCTGTACGCAAGTAAAGTTCATATGAGTGTTGTGAAACAAAGAGTGCAAACAATCAGTCACGCTCAAGCGCCCCACAGTCTAAACAAGATAATTCTTATTGATATGAGTTCGCGTCCATGAAGAAATGGCGGTACAAAGAGAAATAAGTACTAAGCTGTACTATATTAACGGGGAATCGATACCAAAACAAGCAATCGTAGGTGCGAGGAATATTGTTCATCACATCAGAGGCCCTAATGGGTCCTTGCTTCCCTTGCATGGAATGTGCAGTCGTTGTACCCACTTGCCGGTATGCAGACGTCTGCAATTTCATTTGTTGCCCGCGAGCAACAAAGGAAATAAGAGACCTGTATGCAGGATATGCTAGGAGGTTTTCAAAATTCGTACCCAGTTAGCCCGAGATCTAAGGTTAAAACGGTTTTCTTTGCTGGACTTTCTATGATTGAGTCGACTGACCTTGTGCGATTGCCAGATAGATCTCTTCCCATCGAACTCTTCGGATGTGTTTGCGGAGCATTAGAATCCGTTCGTGAATAACAGTCTGGTTTCTGTTGTCTTTGATGCACTCGGCCTATTCCCCAGTGCGGTTCAACGCGGTATTGTTGCTCTGCATCACGAAGTGCCGGAGGACGTACTGTATAGTCAACGGCTGTTTGAAAATTAGACGATTTTGCCTTTTCAGGAAATCCCAGGTCTGTAAAGTCGGATTCTCTGCCAGTAGACACAATGTACGGTTTATCAAGCGCTCTGAACTGGCTTTGGCTGAAGTTCTCTGGTCTCCAACGAACCTTGGCGGCAAAACCTTCCCTAGAATGAGGACCTGCTGGATCTTTCGTCAACAGGTGTTGGTCGGGGTTTAGATGAGGATGTGGATTGAACTCATAGCGGTTGTTGGGTAACTGTGATTAAAAAAAAAGATATGATTAGATCTTGAAGTTGTGTACGAAAAGAATGTGGAAGGGGAAAAAGATCGAAGCCGCCGAAATCTCAAAAGAAAGAGCACAACGATAGTTTCTAAAGTCTCCTGGAAAGGGAAGAGATGGGAACATCCTTGCAACATTGCCTTGCCCTTGGGAACGAGGTTGAAAGGTAAGTAGGCTGTTTAGTGCTCCTTTCTCACCCCATATCATGTTATTCCTATGGTTTCAAAGGGTGATATTTGACGTTAGCTAATCTCTGCAATTTCTTGGATTCTGAAATCAAAATTTCTTTACCTGTGACATTTAATTTCAGTGCTACACACTAAGCACCACTGTATCTTCTATTTCTTGTTTAAAATTTATAAATGAAGGGGTTTTTTGAAGGTCGAAAAAGGACTTTGAAGACTGTTATGGTTAGTCGCTATTTTGCACACATTTACCCTTACCCCAGTGATACATCGTTTTAAATCCACGGCAACACGGTCCTCCAATGACGCTGAAGAGTTATGGTTCATTAAAGATCTCCAGCCATTCTCAACAGAACTTTGATTAACCGAATAGTCTCCGTTCTGTCGATGGTGCGCTCCAATGCAATCCTTTTGAGATACGTAAATATTAGGTCTGTCCACAGTTACTGAGGTATCTGGTACAGCAATAGTCGTGGGTTTATCACCTTTATAAGACCAGTTATAGTAACTCTCATCGCTATTAGCATTTCTTATGATTTCCTGCTGTAAGTCACCATTGTGTTTAATGTTATCTATCCATGTTGTAGTGGAATCGCTTGTGTTGGTAACCACGCTATCTGGTGACGAATTAAAGGGCGGAGTTTCCATATGGATAGGTGATGCTTCGTCTATATGTTCATTGTATCTGCTTTCTGATATCTGATTGCACTGCTGAAATATTTTCTGTACCGGCCGAACACAAGGATGAGCTGTGTGGTAATCGTTCAATTCAGAACACCAGTTAATAGTTCTGTGAAATTCCTAACGGTAAAAAAGCATCATGAATTTTGGTATTGTTGATATAATAATATAAATCGTTCTGCCTTATCCGAGTGAGTTAGGGCACTTTTAATTTTCGCCTAATTAGCGCGCGCTTAGCGCATGACGGAAGTCTGAGTTTATACTTGTTAGATGAAGTGTCAACAAAATACTATATTACACAAAAAAAGCCTTGTCGTTTGCGTATTTCCATGGATAAGCACGAAACCGCGGCACAAAAAGACTTGTCCAGGATATAAACTGATTATTTAACTCAATGAAAAGAGATAATTCTATGGTGTGCTGCGAAATGCCCGTTGTCTTTAAACAGAACCATATAAACTTGAAAGGCATAGATTATTCGAAAATCAACGAGGCAGAATCGAACTGACTGATGAAGATGGGAGATCACTACCGTTAAGTACCATGATTTTCTAACATGTCTAATGTGAAAACTGATTCAAGCTACTGCCATACCGTTAGAATTCGCTGAGGAATCCAAGGGCAGGTCTCTTTCAGTTCTGTGAGGGTCATTTTCAGCAACGTAGCTAATGGAGCAGCAGTGAGCATCACTTGAGCACTGAAAAGGGAAGGAACATTCTAGTGTCAACATTGGTGGAGAAATCCGGGTTTTTTCTATTTGCGAGATAATAAAGGAGAGAAGAGAATAGACGATAAACGAGTAAATAAAGGAGGGCTAAAGTTTTCAGCTTGCAGTCTTGATTCAATCCCTTTAGCTTACCTGAATGAATTCATGCATGGAAGGGACAGCAGGAATTTTTCATGCTGAAAACCACAGTACCACCAAGTTAGCAAATATAAACTCTTCATCAATTACTGTTAGAAACAGGGAATTATTTTCAACGTTTTCAATGTTTTAATAACATGAGACAAACCATTGAAGCGCACGCACAAAGCTGTTGTTATTACGTGGAAACTAGCAAAGGCGAAAAAACACTAATTTGGTAGGAAGAATCTAACAGAGTTCACTGAAATCTTCCGGGGAAATACATAGTTGTTATAGTTGGTCATAGTCGTCAAAGGTATCCGAGGTTTTAAGGAAAGTACTATAGCTCATCTGTGACCTCCTTTTTGTCGAATAGTTCAGTTGACTACGCAATACAGAGAAGGTAAAGAAATAAGCTTAAATCCCAGACATAATTCGTACACTCTTGAAACAGAATGTTTCAGCAGAGCATTTACCTGTGTAGATTGCATTTCAGAGCAATCAAGCAGGTTAAAAAGGGATTTGTAGTAGACGGGAAGATATCACACGAATTGTCTTACCGCGCTAGCCTCGTTTGTCAGCCATTTTCTTTTGATCCATTCCTGCTTTTTCCACACTGCTGACTGGGCTCTACTCACTTCGCCTATTTGTCTTATTAGGTTAGCGGTTTCCTCAACAGCAAACGAATAGATAATCTCCACTTCGAAGTCGCTCTTTTGAAAATGCGCAATGCTAGCAAACAGGGTAGACAAACGGCGAAGAACATCTCCAGTGAATGCATATCTGACGGGAATCGAAAACAAGACTTTTCCAATTAATCACAGTAAAATGAGTGAGCATATCTGAACGTTATTTCAACAGAGAACCCTTGTAATACTTAGCCTAAATTTAATAAACGCGTTTATTTTCCTATCAACTGCTCACTACCAGCATCATATACTGTCGACAACATGCGGCTCAGCATTATCATTGCACGGCTACCCTGCTATCACTATATATCGCTGCCACAAGTCACAAGAGGTAGCTCGCTAATGTAACCGAAGAACGTAGCTTTTCCTCAGTACTCTAATCGCTAGTTTATTCGTCGAAATTTGTTTTCATCTAGCGCTGGGGCGTAGATAGCTTCTTGTTTCTATTAGTTCTATTCATGACTACAGTAGCTGTAAGGCCTTTGGTATCAACTTACTCTGGCTTCTTGCTGGAATACAGAATAACACAACACTTATTGCATTTAAGGGACAATGAAAGCACGGTGTCTCTGAGACCCTCATATTTGTTTTCATCAGCCAAAGAAGGTAGGTGCTGTAGATGAATGCAGGTCCTCTCGTCTATCATTATATCTGGCTGTAAACACATCTTGGTTAAGGGAACTCTCGGTCTGGGATAACTATACTGTCTTTCGTAAATCAGCACGTTATGCTTTGTCTCGAGGAGCTGCAGTAGATCTACATGAAGTGTTATTTTATCGCTGCCGATGAATATAAATTGGTCATCGACCTGTATTTCTTTGAACTGAGGGCCACTGCCTGTAAGGAAAATATTCGTTGTAGCTCTCTATAAGAACAATTTTTCAGTGCGCACTGTCATTCTTCCCTTATAGAGGTAAAAATTACAACTGTTATCTACAAATTACTAAATAAAGTTTTGCTCAGTGTTGGTCATAGATGCCTGGTTTTAAAGGCATAGCACAAATACAAAAGAAGACAAATGAAGCAGTCTTGCATTGCCCACTGCAACGTTGGAGTGATGTTGGAGCACTGCAAAGTACAAAAGGCAATACGGAGGGTAGTTTATTCTTGTTTGATATGCCGCTAGTTAAGTTTAACAAGAGTCTAACAAGTCTCGTTCTACTTGAATCTATTGCTACGGTATATTTCCTAGCTTGCTAGTCTTCCTAGAATAACTTGTTCTAGAAAATTTGTCATGGTGATACTGCAATATCTCATAGGTAGAGGAGGTACTAATGATAAGTATTAATGTGTAATGAAAATTGTTATTAGTTATATACATTTTGAGTAACAATATTAAAACTTGCCTTGTACTTCTAGGGCACGATTTTGATCCAACTGAGTTTCTGCCTTTGTTCTCAGGTTTATGTGGGCTTTAAGTCTACTGCTACGAGAAAGTTCTTCTCTTCTCATCACGGCGTTGAGGTCATAGTCTAGCACAAAGTCAAAACTGCCCCAGGGAAAGTCCTCGGTAACAGAAAGAGCGCTTACAACATAAATAACTAGGTTTCCATCGCAATCTACTTCATTCATCTCCGCAGCTGATGTATATAGCCTCACTTGAACTCCATTCACACCTGACAGGGTTTCAATGATTTCGTTGTTTAAATTTTGAGGAAAAGCGTAAGTAAAGATTGCTGTTGTTAAGTGACTTGCATTTCCTTCTTTGCTCCATTGTGCTGCAAGACAAAGCAACTTTAAAAGCTTGGGGTGCAGAACCTTCCGTTGCCGGAAAGTGAAGTGTGTTTCAAAGAGATATCTTCGTGTTGACTCGAGGGCTCCTCGTAATGAACCGCCATACTTTTCCTGAGTTAAGCTTAAGTATGCTGCAATGAATAAGGTAGAAGGCAATAACTTAACCTCCAATGAAATGAACGCACTTATATGATGTACCTTGCCGCGTAATAGCGGAACAAATCTCAGATGAAGTGAGCGCAATATAAAATTGAACTACCTTTCAAACTAGAGCCTACATTCTTTGATGTCAATGACGACAAACATTCGTTGCTGGAAAGTGAAGAATGGGGATTACTGAAAGGATTTGATTTGAATAGTCTTGAGGAAGGAGCGTTGCTTGACGAGACAAAAACGGCTGCTTGTGAGGCTATAATTTGAATGGATAAGACGCTTTATCTGTTATTGTCTATCCAGACACTATAGGTGCTTTAAATAGATGGGTAGCGATACCATTGTTTTCAAATGAGTATTTGTCTAGTGAGTATACTATGAGTATTGTACCACCAAATGAGGGACTGCTTTACCTATTGCTGCTTCTAAACCACTCTGCATGAGAATATCAACAGAGGAAACCAACGCATGTAAGCACACAGTCATGCAAAATATCTGAGTTTCCCGGCTGTTTTCCTCTGTTTTTCTTACAGACATCTCAGCCTGCTTTAGCACAAATCTTGTGTATTCTGGATTCAAGGTTGACAGTGTTTTGGACTGTGGAATGACACCATTGTCTTGAAGCCTACTCAGAAGGGGTCTCACTTGTGCGATCAACTCATTTAAGACGTCTTGGAACTCGTCTGAAAGTTCAACGGTTATGTTTTGCTGCTGGACTTGGCACCAAGAGCCTTTTGTTTCTTCAGCAGGTTCTTCAGTAGGTGCTGTCTGGTCTGATACACTTGTATCTTTGGTAAAGACGGACGGGCGAACCTTTGCTGCCTTCACGACCGTTTCTAAAAGTAAGAAAGAAGTTAACGGAGGAAATATTTCGCAAGTAAGTAACTGGTGGTAGAAATTACCAACTGGTGTGCTAAACCGGTAGGGGAGGTGCAGATTACAGAAGAGAGATCACAGTGGCAGAGCAGGGAGATGACAGTGGCGGATTCAGACCTTGAAGTAAGGGCTGGGAGGGTGGGGGCGCTCTTGGCGGTCGGCCCCTTGGGCCTCGGTTTTGGTTTAAGAACAAGGGGGCGGATCCCCCTGTGGCCCCTTTGTAGATTCACCGCTGAGATAGACTTAACAGGAGATTAAAGAAACGTCAACTTCAAGTTTACCACTAAAATTTGAAAAGTTCCTCCGGACTCCGTAATCGTACCTTACAACACTGCAGATTATCTATTGTTATTCTATTATCATTTCTTTCTTACTTGGTGGCGTGCACTGACGATGAATGGGTGGCTTCAAAGTGTCATGTTTTCCTTTTCTCAGTAGTAAAAAGTCTTCAAGACCGCTTGAAGTTTGTTTCTGTCTTAAAACGTCGGAGGTCGTGCTTGGAACAACAAAGGATATGTCTTCCTCTTTTGCAGTTATGCTACTTTTTGTCGCAACTGATTTGGTGATTGTCGAACGTTGCACTTTGCTTGCGGGGCCTTTGAACGTGTCCAATGTACTTTGGTTCTCAATCGTGGCTGCAGTAGGTACTAACTCATTTCCTGTGTCACGTAAAGTGATACACAAAACTGTCAAACAAAAGTGGAAACCACTTACGAGGATAGAAGGTCAGCAGTAGTTTGGCCAACTCTGATAAATTACAACGTTATGGGATTGTCGAGCTCTGTCGAACATCCTATTACCTGGGTGTCTTTCGGCTTGTATCTTGCATGAAGATTCTTCCATTGATGTCTCTGGTAATCTTTCATTTGATGGAAGTTCTAGTAATAAAAGACAGCAACAAAAGCAAACAAAGAATTATTGAATTTTCGCTTCTTTCCTTTGCGCGTTTTGATTTGATGGTAGAATGAAAAAATTTTGAGTCATCATAAAATTCGATCATTAGATAGTTTTCCCTTTGTTTTGATAGGTTAGAACCACTTTTAAAGATACTGAAGAACTCGAAATAGTATTGAAAACTCTCTCTTTAAGCAGCTATTTTATCATCATTGTTTTCGTGCTTGGCCGTAAAACCTGGAACTGCTACAGTCTTTTCTTTTTCTCAAAGGCTTGCACTCTAACAAAAATAATTTTGTTTGTAAACACTTGTATACGTTGTTTATCACCTTGAAGGTTTTTCTTGCAAAAGGCTTCACCCGAATGTGAAAGCGCCCTGCTTCTGATGTCAAGGTGTTCAGCTTTGTCTCCTTTATCATTCCATGCTGAAAGGCATTGTAGATTTCTGCGACAAGTCTCTATTGCGGTCACTGACTGAGCTAAAGGATCCCATGGTAGTCCTAATTCTAACTGTCCACTCAAGCACTCTTGTGACAGCGTTAACTTCTTTAAGGCCACTTGAACTAAAGTCATGGTGTGTTCCTTTCTTCTTTCTCGTGAAGTGATAGGTACTGGGAGAGAAAAAGAAAAAGATAGAGTATATAGTCATTAATGCCTGTACATGTCTACCTAAGCGCCTTACTTAAACTGATTCCGTATGATGACAAAAGAGCAGATTAAAAGAACATATGTATGTATGTATGTAAATCTTTAAGGGATGCTTATGGTTTCCCATACTTTGGTTCGCTTTCGAGCAGGTCAGTGAACGTTTTTTATCTAGCTAATATTTGAAAATTTCTGTGAAAATTAATGCGTGCTCACACATGATTATGTACATACCAGGAAAGACCATCTCCAAATGTTCATTAAAGAGAAGTTTCTCATTCTCCCATATGCTTTGGACACACTGCGATACCTTAGTGGGTGTCATTGGTGGGCTGCAGCATAGTAGAAAAAAAAATAAACACTGGTTTTGAACTTACTGACTAAACACATAAACCTATTTGAACAAAGGTTACGTAAGATTTTTTTCAGTTTTAAACGCTTTCTAGGGTGTTGAACTGCAAATATTAACTTGCATTGGACAACAGTAACTAGTAACTTGTTGTTGTGTCGAAATACAGTCTAATTGCAGTGATTACCTTTCAACGTCCGTCGACAAATCAAACTTTTCCAGAGCACTGATAAACTTCCTGCTATTTTCGTCAGTAACGAGGGAGGTTGGGAGGTGAGATGGAGATTCCAATAGCTGTAGGTCCTTCAGGAAATCTTCAGATTTTGGATCATCTTCTAATGACCAAAAACAAGTCCCATTATGGCTCTTACCAAAATTTGAGACGAAGCAAAGGAGATAATTTTATCTATCTAGTAGAGTACAAGAAACGTTGTTATGAATGTTAATTAATGACACCATTAAAAGTTACCACTATTCAGCGTTACAAAGTCATTCTTTTTCATTGTGGTCTTCGTTGAGTCTGTAGCTGTCTTATCCAAAAAGGGCTCAGGGTCTTCAAAAGCAAACTGATCCACTGATAGTAGCTCTGATTTTTCTACTGGAAATGAAAGAAAAGAAATATAGGTAAAGGAACCAACGTAATTTTTTCGTAAATGACACGGCCACAAGGAACGTTTTGTACTTTATCCGCTGCGAACATTTCTCACCTTCAGATTGTGTCTCTTTGAGTAGTCCGAGTGATTGTTGTGCTTTAACAGTACAGGTTGGCTGGACTGAAGGAATGACCGGGCTGACAATGACCTCGATTTCTTCATTGTGCAGTGTAAAATCACCCTGTGTAATAACATAATTTAGCAATTATGTTAACATAACGTTTGTCTTCGGCCTTTGTGAGACACTGCATTTCAGAATAGAAATTCCCCTTTGACTCCAGGATTCAGATCCTGCAGCCGCATAGATTTTTCGGAACGATATGGCCTTAGTTGACAGCAACTTTTTTATAAGGTATCGGAAAATCTTCATTTAATTACCTCGTTAGCTGTATCATTATTCAGAATCTTCAAGAATATTTCTTTGTCTGTGTCTGTTGGCTTCTTTTTACATTCCTCCAGGATATTTACTTTAAATTCCATCCTTAAAAAAATAGTCAGTAAATTACTTTTTTCCCCACTCCATCAGAGCTGTACCTCAATGGCTAAAACTAGCAATAAGTACGCGAGACATAACAAAAAGGCTTCAGTTTAAAGAGCAGGTTGCAAGTAAAATTTTAGGTAAACCAATCAAATGAAGTAATTTTGAAAATGTTTTGGCCTTTTTTTGTCCCAGACTATTTTAAAGAGGTCTGTAAAACACGTTTTAATTGAAGGTGAGTAAGGGGGAAGGAGCGACGATCTCCTGCTCAAAGAGTTTTCATGTTTGTTTAGTTCTTGGTAAGCTGAATAAACAGAAGAATAGACTCTTCTGGCAAGGAGCGAGGTGGTTGAAACAGGTCCCTGTTTTGCTGGTTCGATGTGGACCCGATGCACGCATTAACCTTACTCTCGTATCCAGATGTCTTGTTGCGAGCCGAAGGCAAGCTTTGTCAACAAGAGATCTGGGTACGAGATTAATTTACCTTAGGAGATTTTTCTCCTGGAGAGGGTTTCCTTCCCTGTCCAGTAAAAGAGGATCTTCAACAGGTTTGGTTTTTAACCTTGAACATAATGCCTTGACTCTGGGTATCCTCTGAAGAGTCTCTTGAAAATAGTCTATGCTTTCCATCTCTTCTAATTTGTCTTTCATGGCATCACCTGTCAGCGAGACAACAATGCACAGAATATATAAATATAAACGTTTGCCGCTTTTTAGACTACGAGCGTAGACATAAAGGAGGAGAGGTAACATAGGAAAATCAAGTTCCGGCTGGGATCCTTTCTGCCTTGGCAAAAGAACTCACCGACTTATATGCAACGCTGTCATTAACAAAACTACATGCATACCGTTCAGGTTTTCAGTTATAGCTTTAAACTCTTCTTTATCAGGCGCTAGAGCGCTGACAACGTAGTTTGCAACCTCCTCTTCTAGATCAGACCACACATCGAAAGATACTAAAGGAGAGTCTGGGTTTGAGCTGGGAACTATATCCTCAACAGTTCCGGTTTGTAGACTGTACGGCTCTGGAAGTTGAACTGAGCTTGTGAGCTGTGACAGGTAGTCTACAGGCTGTTTACTGGACAGCTTAAAGGCGCTTTCTGGAATATAGAAAAGAGAATAAAACATTCAGGACTTAAATTCCACAACAAACGAAAAATCGTTGATTTCGTTGAAAATCTAGTTTCCAAAAAATGTAACATATCTTGCTTTTGAATTGTTGTTGTTGCTGTTCAGTTTAGAATGTATTTTTCCTTTGTGGACGCAGGGACCACTCATTTCAGGTAAACTAAAATTCATGAAAGTCGAGAGCTTTTGATAAAGTATCTGTTCAGTGGAGATAACGTAGTTTACGGAAGTCAGAGCCGGCGCAATTCATTGTAATTTTTCTTTGTTCATTACAAAAATTAATTATTTAGGTATTTAGTCATGGAAATTTAGATGATGAAAAATGAGCGAAAATAAAACCCAAATTTCTGCAGTGAACAAAGTGAGTGTTTTATCTTAGCACTGATTAGGGATATAAAAACAAAAAGGAAAGTCTCTTCGAAAATAAAGTAAGCCTTAACAAAGCTATGAATATATATGAATGCACGTCTGTTAACTTTTACCTCTCTCCCATGGAATACGGCCATTGTTTTTTCCAACTTTTCGATTATGTGAATATGCTTCAACATATTCTAGATGGCTTGGTATTGTGAGCAGCATCTGAGATCGCATGTTTCTTTTTTGCTGCAAAGCCTTAAAGAGATTTTCAAATTCCAGCTTTTTATGGACTTTCAAAAATTTACAAGTTTTAAAATCCATTATCTGAAAAAAGCAGTTAAAAATTAGGGAAAAGAAAGAACTTACATCCGCAAGATAGTCTATCCCAAGGTATCTTGGCATTTTTACGTCTTCCTTTTTTGGTTGTTTCTAAACTGTTAGTAAAACGAACAAGAAACTAAAAAATATTGCGCGTCGCTCTTGTCAAAGTTGTTTTGCTGCTATGAAAGTTTTCTCTTTTTTCGCCTTTCTGCCCTTTCTGCCAGCAGCTGCCAGCAGCCGCGAATTTTCCCGCGTTTTTGTCAACTCCTCGACGCAATCTGATTGGATAAAAATTATTTTTATACCCAATCAGTGACTGGTGATTTGATCGAATAGTACTCACCCCCACCCTCCCTACCCTTCCAAAAAAAGAGAGACACGCTATGTATCCTGGCCTTCTTTACTGCAGGCACGTGGAAAACCCTTAAAAATACAAGATGTCCTCTTTAGCACGACAGTTACAGCAGCTTCAAATTCCAGGCAGTTTGCCGTCTGCTGCTGCTAAAACCAGCAAGAAAGCATCTTTACTCTTTGATGCTAAAGAAGCGGCGGACATCGACAACGAAACTATCTTTTCTATCGCTCTAAATGGTCTTGAAGAGTTGAAAGTGATCGAACCAGGTTTCTCAACATTCGATAATTCCCTATTTGGTGATGCTTCCAAGTCATTGGAGAGGACATTGCAGTCTAAAGAAGTCAATGAGAAGTTAGATCAGCACATCACAAAGTTCTTGAAATATTTATCCCCGTATTTCTTGCTGAAACCAGCGCATAAAGTTTTGGAGTGGCTCATTCGACGTTACCAGATTCATGTTTACAATGTAGACAGCTTGGTCTCGTGTATTCTCCCCTTTCACGAAACAAACATATTTGCTCGAGTTTTGCAGCTGTTAGCAATCAAAGATCCACATTCCAGGTGGAATTGGCTTCGTCCAATTCAAAAGGCCGGTGTTCCTCTTTCCAAGACTGCTTTCTTGCAGCACTGTATTTCAGATAGTTCATTTTTATCCCTAGTTTGTGACATGGTGACGGAAGGGATCAAATTAAAAATTCCTCTGTCAAGTTCCAGGGTTTTAATCACATTCTATACAACAACAGTTGTTGGGGTGCTGGACATGATGCCTTCAGTGACAGAGAAGTTTATAACACATTTATTGCCATATTTATTGCAAGGACTTGGGTCCAGAATATCTGATCTTCTGGCTTCATCATACATGATAACAGCTCAACTCTGTTTTAAGTGTAACATGGAGGAAACTTTGGTGAAGTCTCTCACTGAAAGTATTTGTAAGGTGGGTACATTTTCACATTGCAACATACTCAAAGCTTCTTGTTCATATAATGACATAATTATAGGCTTTGAGTATGTTGAAAACATCTACGTTTATAACCTAAGGTCAATCCAACATCCAGACATCTCACAACTTGTTGTGGTACAGAATACAGAGAATGGCTTGAGATTTGGGTGGGAACGGTTTTAGCTTTATATTCCAGAAAGATGTCCATCCATTAGACAGTGAAGTCACATGCAGCAAAAATACAGTTGCAACAATTCTGTACATCACAACCAGTGTATACATGTAGATCAAGCCAGTCATTCCCAGGGGCATGTCTGAATAACAATATTATCACAAAAACAAGGAATAAGCAAGTTGAAGACTTAATGAATTCTTGCAATAAAACCTCAGTTTGAATGTATTGAATGTATTGTTATACACTGTTTAATTTTATTTCATCCAAGAATCTAAAACCGAGCCTTGCAGTTGAAGGACTTGCTTGTCTAACCTACATTTGCCAGTCGCAAGGCATCAAGAAACTGTCAAAAAGGTACGTACTTTGTTATTTTTATGCATGTTTTGCGTAAATATCGCTGCCTTCAGCAAACCTTTCAACTGCAACCTAGCTTAATGCCCGTAATGTTAATTAAATTAACTGATGATCTATTAAGCATGCAATGAAAAGTGTGTTCCCTGTGTTTGAAGAAATAATCCCCCTGGGATAAAAATCTTCAGTCGGGTCACTTTCCAATGCTGGAATCACTGAGTGACTGACTGACTGTCTGATATCCTGACTGTCCAACTGACCCATCAACTGATTGACTGGCTTATTGGCCTTTCCGACTGACTGATCATGACTGAATGACTGACTGGTTGACAGATGGGAAGACCTGTGTGACTCTTTTACAGACTCACAGACTTCAACTGATTGGATCATTGAATGGCGGACAGGAAGGGTGTGTTTGTATAGAATGATCCAGATCACAACTTACGATCCAAGATCACTGCCTCCATGAAACTGGTACCATTGACACACCAAGTTTCAAGTGACCTCAGATCATAAATCCTAATCTGGATCGTCCTAAAAAAAATGCACTCCAAGATGTTAAATGACACATTGACTGACTGGCAGATGGCATCTGAATGACTTTCTAAAAGAAAGACTGTGGACTGTTGGCTATTTATTATTTTTTTCCTTCACTCTGAAATAATAACTAGAAAATTTCATCGACATTTTGAGTATAATTTGCTCTTGTAGGTCATTTAAAGCTCTTCTCAAGCAGTCAAATCTGGTGAAGACATTCCATCAGCTGTCCTCCACTCATGTTATCACTCCCCTGCTGGAAGTTATCATACCCCAGATGGTATCCGCTGGTATAAAAAATGAATTATCAGAAGAACATGCTGATTCAACATCAGAATCCTTGCTTGAAATTACCATGGAGTTACTGAAAAACATTGATTTTGAAAAGGAATCTGTTATCCTTGTGGGCAGGTCAGAATCAAATTTAGTCAAATGGTGACTGGCCTGAGGGGACTCAAAATGATGATGATGATGATGGTGACTCTTAGCTTAGTCTCTAGGGACTTAGATCACTTCTTCGATAACAGTGATACAGAAAGGAAGTCACCCAAAAGAAACAGCAGAAATTATACTTGAAATGAAATTATCCAGTGAATGATGAAAGTGTATTCCCCGTGTTTGAAGGAAAGATCCTTTTGAGAACTTTTTCTTGTTGAGTACCTTTTCTGACACTGGATAATTCATAAATCATTACACCTTACATTGTAGTTATTGTCATCATCATCATCACAGTTATCCACATCCTTGTCATTGTCGGCATTGTTATTATTGTCGTCATAATCATCATCATTAAAATCCTGATCATTGTCCCGATCATTCTCATCATTTTCCCCTTTTCATCATATTTTTTTTGTCATGACCATAATCATAAAATTTTTAATTACCACATCACTCACAATATCATCAGTCACAGTGTAGGAGTGGCTTTTAATATTGTTTTAATATGTAAATGTAATACTGTTAATAAGATATCTGATCGTGTTTTGTTTCTTTTTTTCCCTCCAATAGAGCACTTCTTGAAGAATATTGCTATGCTTGTGAAACACTCGGTGGAAACAAGATTGAAATAAACAAGTTAAATGATAAAGTGAAAGATATTGTACAGACTTTGGAAAGAAGGTCAGTTTATATGTTCTCTGTCAGTTGTGAAGTTATAAAAATTTTATAGCCAGCTTACTTTCTGATTACTGTTACTTTGGTAATTTGCACTAGTTTTGCAGTAAGCAGCTTTTATGATGGAAACAAGCTAAACAACTTTTAAACATGTTTGAGCTTTGGTGTAAATGGGGATAAAGCTGTAGATACTAAAATTAATTATTTTACATTGTATTTCTTTTATAGTCATCTCTTCTTAACATCTCATTGAAAACGCTAACTGAGGTTTATCCGATCCCTTTGGTTCATCTAGGTATCCTACAGAACTGGAAAAGGCCATTGAAGGACATCTAGGGTCCCTCAGAGGTAAAGAGGATACCCCTGAAGGAGGAGCAGGAGGTATAGCTGCTCAGAGCTCTGTCTGGACAATGGAGTTGGTTTCTATGGCACTTACAGGGGTCCAGTCACAGGTAACAGCATCTTTTTTAAAAACCACTCAGAGGTCTCCCTGAATAATTTTTCTTTGATAATGTTACTTTTATCAAAGTTTTACTGATAACCTGAAAGGAGATGTTAAGAGTGATTTAAGATATATACCATCTACACAGTGTTGTAACAAAGCTGTTATACTTTTTGTTCAGGTTATCCCAGACTCCAACACAACATTAGTCTTGAGTCTTCATCACCCTCAAGCGCAAATGCGAGAATTTGCAGTTAAACGCCTTGGAGACCTTCTGGAAGGAAAAGAGGTGAAGCTTATAAACTAATGCTATTTTATGTTGAGTATTTTTGTTGTGATTGTCATATTATTAATTTGTAAGTTGGTAAACATGTGTCAGCTTTAACCCTTTAAGCCCTAAGAGTGATCAGCATCAAATTTCTCCTGCTAATGTCAATGCTTTGTAAAACAGAGTGGTCATGAGAATTACGGACATGATCACACAAGATGAGTTTGCTTTATTATCAACTTCTCCTCACTACTTCTGTAGGAAATGAATGGGGGCAACAAATGAGAATTCAAATTTTGATCTTAGGGTTTAAAGGGTTATTATATACTGTATGGTGGTGATGATGTTGATCATCATCCTTATATCATTAGTGTTATCTCCCTCATCATCATTGTTTTTGCCAACATTATTGATGAGCTCCAATAAAATTTCTGTGTTCACAGTGCATTTTATTTACTCCAGTTTCTGATTACTGCACTTTTCAAAAACATGCAAACTCTAAAGTTCAAAAGCCACCTTCACAATTGCGTTTTTCCCTGCAGTCATGGATAAAATACCAAAAATTGATTTGATCTAATCCTATCCAGGCTTTGTTGACAGTGGTCATTTTTAATTTCTTGATAATGTTGTAGGGAGTGCCAGAAGACAAACAGTTTGTTACAGAGTCTCTACTTTCACGACTTCAAGATGATGATCCAGCGGTTGTTACGTGTGTGCTTAAGCTAGGCAAGGTTGGTTTCTGGACTCTGCTGACATCTCTATTACTGTACATTTAAGACTTTTCAGTGGCATTTAAGATGTAACAAAAAATGACAAGTTAATACCATGTCAGAGAAGCAAAAAATAAAATAAACTAACATGATCACAGATTCTTTTTATCTTCCTTATTATGCTCATATGAGACATTGTATGTTACTAAATTAAATCTAGCTCTTTATTAGAGCAGTTACCTTCATTAGAAAGTATTGTGTATTTGATTGGTTAAAGTGCTTGCCTTTCTTTTCCAGCTTCTTGCTGATAATCTTCCTGGCTCTCAGTTTGTGCAAGAGGTGTTGAAGCTGTTGAATAAGAGATCCTCCGACTGGTTAGCATTAATACATAATTAAATTACAGACCAAATCTGCTTATAATAAGCAGGCACCCTTAGGAAGGAGAAAAATTGTCAAGGTGGCCTTAAGAAAGGAAGCCTTCTACTTCAAGAGTGCCTGCTCTTGGATCTTAAACCTATTTATTTTTTGCATTATTTGAGTAGTTTTATCTCTGATTTTACTAGCAACCGGTGTACATTCACATCACAGATAAAGGGAGCTATTTATTTATTTGTTTATTTATTTAAATGCACATGTTAATTGACAGGGATGAAGTGAAAGAGGAAGCATTACTGTTGCTTGTTGGTGACTGGATAAAATCTGCTGACTCAACTCTTGCTGACAGTATCTTGTTTGGCTTGTTACCTTACTTCTTCCTTTATCGTCATTCCCACATGACAGCAGTTCGCCTCTCAGTGACAGTCAGCAAATCAGTGCTAGCTGCCCAGCATCCTCTGTTGTTTGGAATGAAAGACTTTGTCAAAAAGAAAGGTAGTTTGTTGGCTTGTTTTCCAGTGTGTCGTCTAGTACATTGATTTTCCACTCACAGAATGATCACATTTCTTTTAAGCCAAGAAAATTAATCATTAACGGTGTAATATATTCGGTTGAATCAGAAGAGGCAATTTTGTTTCAGCTATGCAACAATTTTAGTGATAACAATATTTCTCAAATTTCTGAGCAGCTGTTGTTTTAATTTTCTGCTGTGGCACTCGTAACTGGGGCCATATGCATCTCAGTGAGCAAGTGACAGATGGTGCACTGTACGTGAAGTTTTGTAATCAATTTAAAATAGTGATTTTTATATTTGTGCAATAAATTTCTCAACAATTAGAATGGAAGAGGTGTGGCAAAAGTTCTGATGTTGATAGTCTGGCCTTGGCTAACAGCCTGTTATTCCACTGGCTTGGAGAAAATCTGATGAGGTTGAAGGACAAAAAACTGTTAGAAACAGTAAGTGCAAAAATTTTTTGATGGCTCAGTGGTTTTGTTTCCAATGATACAGAAAAGGTCCGCTGAGTAGGCATACCTAGGATCTTAAAATTATTATTGTTGTTGTTACTGTTAATTTTTTTTTCATTTGATTGATAAAGGATCTTTTCCACAGATTTTAAAGTTATAGTGATAAAACAATACTGAAATGTGAAAATGAAGTGAAAAAAGTGAAATGTGATAATTAAATGCAGGCTAGGAGCAAAACTAGGGTTAAAATATGAAAGCCATTATTTTCATCATTTTTGCAAACACATGAGGGGTACATAAGTGTGATTTTTTATTATCCTCTTTTCTGTCAGGTGCAAAGTATGATGAGTCATGCCCAGGGTCTTGAAGAAGAGAGCCTTTTTCACCCACTTCTAAAGTGCCTATTAAGCCAGGTGGTATCCATGACAACAGGCCAACCGTTAAAGGAGACATTATGCCATATTATAGCGGAGTTTATCCTGCGTGACCTTTGGAAAGTAGCAAGATTCCAAGGAAATTATGACACACCCGAGGTAGTTTGTATGTGCCTGTTTATAAAGTTAAACCTTTTTTAAATGCTGTGTCATTTTGATGAAAATTAAGGATAACCATTTTCAACATAAACGGACAGCTCCAAAGCTTTCATTTCAATGTTCCCATACGTATATAGTGTACTGGTTGCTTGCTTTCCGAGACTTGAAAACAGAAAGTGCTTTTTTCCAATGTGGCCAAAGTCAAATTCAAATTTTGTTGTGTAAAATGGTGAAAAACAAAAAACCCCATATAAGTGAAAGTTCTGACAAAAAGGTTTTTATTTGAATGGTCACACGGCAGGATTTGTCCACAGACGTAAAAGTTAGAACCACCGTGCAAGACTCCAACACTCACTCTGGGTCGAGTGAATATGTTAAATTTAATAAAATAGAAAAATGGAATCACTTGTCTTATCTTTAAACGTTCTTGGTATAATCTTCCTGATTTATTTTGAACTATTTTTCATCTTTTAGAGTGACGTTTCGGAACAAGATGGAAGTGGGAGTGTTCCACTTCCACTGTTAACCAGTCTAGTTAAGTTTCTTGGCAAGCGCAGCACCAAGCGATTGAATCATGCTATAGGGGCCATCATACTTCAGCTGTGCAGCAATCTGTTGAAGAACCTACCATCTAAATCAGCTGCTTCCAGTGGTAAGAGAATTTACTGTGAATTTCATTCTTCTACACCTGCATGTTCTCATATTATTTAACAAATTCTCTTTAAAATATAGCGCAGAAGAATAATATTTTATCAATTATTTTCTATTAAGGTATTTATTAATTCTGATGATATGTAGTGTTTGTTGGCTATAAAAATTGACATTTTAAACATTTACATTAAATAATTATTTTGGGGGGCAGACTAAGTAATTTATCTACAGGTATATTATCTAGGGGCAAATTAAATTTTCTGGCCAAAATAGTTAAAGCTCTATTTTTAGATATGCAAACCATCAAAACAGAAAGGAGGCCTTTAATATCTTGGAAAGTTTCTAGAATCTGATAGCTCCAATCTCATTCTTAACCTTCCATCCTTTACTTGTTTGAAAGGCAATGAAATATTAATTTTGGTTCATATATGTGATTTCCCAGGTCATTGGTGGTCCTCTGAATGTACCAGTGATGATGAAGGATTTTACACTAAGGTGATTGACAGTTTGTTTGTAGTAATACTCTTTAATATGTAAGTTGGGACTTTTGTTCTGGTTGTGAGCCTCAGCACTATTAAAGTGGTTGCATGGCAAGTATTTGCATTTTCACTTATTTTGGTGACCCATGTGAAGTAATAATTTGTTTTTTCTATCCAGCTATTGGTATCACTCTTTGAGGTGGTGGCATTTGGGAGTGGCACATCAACATCACATCAAATGCAGTTTAAAAAGTTACTAAAGGAGATATTTGAGGTATGTTTTCTGGCATGGGGAATAACAGAGGACACGTTCTTGAATTTGCTCATTTTTTCTGGGTTAATTTAAAGGCCTTTCACTTGCTCTCACTCACCTTGTATTTTTTAAAAAGAAGAATTCTCACTGGTATTGAGAGTGAAGTCAAACCCTCACACAGTTAACCTTTGTAAGCTGTACTGTATCAGTCTTGAAAGACTTGTCCAGTATGTTCACTATATGGAGAATTTCTTGCCCATTAGAGAGAGGTAACTTTATTTGTGTAACAAAATACAGTTTGGATAAAAATGTAAGAATCAGTGGCTCAGTCCATGGGAAAACTGTAGCATTGTGTTTTTTACTTACAGTCTGATCATGACAAATCATGGAATTATTTAACCTGAGATGAAGGATTTACTTTAAACTGAGTCCTTTTTGCAGTCCCCTGTACAAATTAACAGAATTTCAAGTAGTAGTGCTTGAAAAAGTTCATGACTTTTTGTCCTGGTAATATTATTTTTCAGTTCCAGCTTGCTGACAAGGTTGTCTTGTTGAAGTTTCTGGGACATTTGTGGTGTAAACCACCCAACAGGGGAGAGGAGAGTGTGTCGGCTCTACTTCAAGTACAAAGTCTCCACATTGCAAATGTCTGTCTTAGCTCTGTGTCAGGAAAAACAGTCAAGGAGCTGATTAAGGCAACATGCACAGGTGTGTAATCATATATTGGTAGGGTTATCCAGACAGTTTAAAGTAGAGGGATAAAAAGTTCCAATTAGCCGTCAGAAAAAATGATCTAAGAAGAGAGAGCTTTCAACTGGAATAGCTGTGCTAGCTGGTAGAGAAGGTTTCACTGGTGGTATTTCACTAATTTTAAGTTTGCCATGTTGACTACAGATCACCATGTTTTACACCACAGCAGTTTACTTACTATCTCAGTTAGATCTGGCACCTACATGCAACAGCTACATTTTTCTTAAAATATAAACATTTTTAAGGTTGCTTAAATAAAAAATAACATTCACCATTTTTTTTCTTTTCAGTGATTCCTTCCTTAATTGTACCATTATGCAGCCCTGTATCATCGGTCAGGAAATCAGCCATTGCTTGCATCAAAACTCTCAATTCAAAGCTTCCACAGGGGTCCCAAGCTGTCACCATTGCTGCATTAGTTAGAGTACTGACGGAAAATGCTGAAGAACTGGCTGCCGACCCTGAACAGCTTCCAAAAGTTTTTGGTGAATTTTTCAAGCCTTTGTTACCACATGACAAGCCACGCCCAAAGGATTCTGCTGAAATAAGGGTTGCGAAGAACACACTGAAATATCTTTTACAACATTTGGTTTCCAGTGACATGCCTTCTTATGTCAGGAGAATCATTCTTTCATCTTTGAGAAAAGTGGATACCCAGGTAGGGATTTGATTAGCTCTTACAGTATAATAAATATGGGTAAAACTTAAGGCAGGTGACTATACCATAGGGGAGGACTTTTGGATCGCTGAGAGTTCCCCAAAAGAATGCCAAATTTAATTCTGTAAGATACTTAAAACGTATAGCAGCAATTAACAGAGCACCTAAAGAGGTGTAATATGAATGGTAATACCACAGGATTTCATCCACAGACTCCAAATTTAGAACTACAATGTACATACTAATGAAATAGTACTATACGAAAGTAATGTTGAAGAAGATATAATGTGTCACCCTAACTTTTAAATCTTTGGATGAAATCCTATACTTAAGACTTTCACAAATGTTTTGTTCTTTATGCAGGATATTTTGCACAGTCTTTTGCCGCTGCTGGAAACACTGCTACAAAAATGCAGTGACAACACATCTGCCTTGACGGAAGATGAAAGCATCGTGCTACAGCTCATAGTGCAGAAGTATACGACACATACTGCCACCCTGCTGCAGCTAGAGTCTTCCCCTTGGGAGTTGTTGTTAAGGGTAATGTCCCTAACAACAAGCATGTGTCCGAGACACCCACCACCCATTATGACAGTTCTTGGCCAAGTTTCAAACAGATTTTTCCAGGCACTTCCAGCAGAGGAGCTACGGCAGCATTTGTTTAAGACTCTTGTGGACACGCTGTTTGAAACAAAGGATATCACTGTAGGCAATGCAGTCAAAAATACTATTTTGAAGGTGAGGTGTTATGTGAGCTTGATTGGTTAATAAAAGTCAAACTTAACACCTACATGTACTGACTTCAGTATGGTTAGATATTTGAAAAATATGACCCAATGGAAATTACATTAATTTTTTACTAGCCATTTTAATCCTTGTTAGGCTTTTGGTAGCTGTTTGTTGTACTATATGCTAAGTAGATATATGTTGTAGTTAATTTTTTATTTCAGTTAATTTTTATTTTTCCATTGTTTTGGGGTATGGTAATGTATGCTAATGAATTTAAAACAAAGGAAAAACAAAAATTAACTGAAATTAAAAATTAACTGCAACATATATATTCTTATTTTACCCATTAATATTTTGTTGCTTTTGGCGTAGGATATACATAATATATGTTTACTGGGCCGGCAAAGATGGAAAAATGATAATATTATTTCTTGTTTTATTTAGCTCACATTAACAGCAGATCTGATAACTGAGGAAATTTTGAAGTTAAATACAGACAATGAGAACAAGCCAAAGAAGAAGAAAGTAAAAAGGTTGGTGTGCTACCCAAGAATCTGATCGATAAGGGTACTCAATTTCTAATGGCCATTGTTCAGCTTTTGAAAAAGGTTATTGTTAGGGTTAGTTTAACATACACTGTATTGGCAAAGTCCGATAATGAACCATGGAAATTATTGAACGAAGTGAATTAGTTGTTTTGTAGATCAGGTTTTACTTCCTTTTCTTACTACTGAGGTTCATAGTCCAATGCTTTAATTCTTCAGTCTTTTCTAGATAAAGTTAATTTAACTTACGTTTCACTGTCTCATTTCTTACTTACCTGTACATGAACCATAGCAATTATATTTTATTTTACTGCCTGTTTTTGTTTTACCTATTAAGGTCGCAACAGCAACAGAAAGATGAGGAAAATGAAACAAATAATCAGCTTCAAAGAGTAACAGTCATCCTAGAGCTTCTGCAGCATAAGATCAACATTGAAGAACCACACAGGCTTTTGCTGACTTTATTTGGCACTCTTACCAGGTGTGCATCAATCCACTAAATATTCATTCTCTTCCTTTTGACATGCACTGTAAAATCTTGATGTTTTTGAATTCTGAAAATGTTAGCACCCTTCTAAAATAATGTCAACCCACTTGTCATGGTCAGATACCATGCATGCATACTCTTTATTTTGCACAGTGTATTCTGTATTTTGTGTGTAATAAAGCAGAGGTTGATGATATTAACTTGTTGATGTATTGGCTTCACTTAGATGTGTAGAGCTGGATCATAGTCAGGTGGCCTCAGAATATATCATGCAGCTTGTATTTTCCCTGATCAACAATATCTGTGACAAACTCTCAGGGGCAGGTGAGTTTCTTTGTTAGGCACATGACTGTATGGTTATAAGGCCCCTGCCTCCACAGGAATCTAGACATTTTTGAAACCAGATTTTGTTTTACCCGCATTTCTGTGGATGGGATTTTGTTTCTGTGGATGGGTTCACTTTGGATGGAAGGCAGTTTTCAAAAATAAACTGGATTCATGTTGACAGTTTTGGTGAGCAGACTCACTGGTTTCACCATCTTTAAAATGATGGAAAGGGTTGTCAGTTTTGGTGTAAATTAATATAATTATGTGGTTTCAAAAATATCTGTATTCTTGTTGACATGGCCTATTAAGCAAAAGGGTAGGAAAATTGCACTGACTAATCTAATCACCATCTTTAAAATGGTTTACTGTATAGGTGGTGACCTTCACCTCTTGCAGTTATGTTGTGTTATATTTTCTATCTTTTGTCTCCTGCATACTTGAGGGTTAAAATGTTTGAAATCTTCTCACTAAGAAATTCTTTCTTCATTCTCAGCAGATGTTGTCCCTGAGGATCAATTTGATGTTGAGCTGATAGTACAATGTATAAGGTCCTCTGAAAGTCCACAAACTCACAATCAAGCTCTGTTGTTACTTGCAACAGCGGCAAAGTTCTTTCCAGTAAGTATATCATTTTTTTCTGCCTTGATTCTTATACAATGTACTGTTACTGTTGTAGCAAGACTTTACAGTAGCTCCAAAATCATTGCAGATGAATTTGGTCTTTATGTCAGTAATGAATTGCATTGAAAGGGTTGTGTGTTTGTCTCCAGTTTGCCTGTATGCATTCAAAGGAACACTACCCAGGGATGGTGTAGCAATTTTCAGACCCCAGCAAAAAAGCTATCCACCAGATAAATCTTTCTCCAGGAGATAACACAATTCGTTCCTTAACGTAACAGGTATCCACTGAACATTCATTCATCCAGTCAATAGTGCTACCCAGCATTTGAACTATTACTGTAAGACCAGGATGCTAGACGTCTCACCTTCCCTCCATTTTAATGTTAAGTGTACAAGGATTCTTGTTTTATTGTTGCATTGTTCATATAGTAATTGCTAACCCATTTAAGTTAGATTGATGATAATTTAGTGGAATTTAAATTGTAACGTTTCTTACAGGAAAAGGTGTTGCATAATGTGATGCCAATCTTCACATTTATGGGTGCTAGCGTTGTACGTAAGGATGATAGCTACAGCTTTGAAGTCATCACTAAAACACTGGATACTGTTATTCCAGCTTTGATTCAAGTATGTGACTATTGTAGTACTTTAGAGCTTACAGTCTTGGTGGATAACATCCTCCTCAATCTCTTTAATTCTTCATATGATACGAAAGCCAAATTCAATTATTCATTCAAAATAATTAATTCCTAGTTTTAAAACAAGCTAAAACATGCTTACCTCCATCAATGTTAAGTTCATCTTTGATAATGGATGTTTATCAGCAAGTGTTTAGGAGATAAAGGGTTTTTCAGTTTTACAAATATTCTCCAAACAGCAGATGTTGTCCATCGAGTTGTATCCTGGCTATGTTTTTAGCCAATAGTTTGCCTATTTAGTCCTCATGAAACAAGTGAAATGTTTTGCCGTTTTGTCCTCACTACCAACTAACAACTCAATCTTTTCCCCAGGTCTTCTCAGTTAACTGTTCAATAATCTGGTAATTTTGCTGCACACTTGATGTCATTTTTCACATATCACAAATTCTTCCAAATGTGGTCGACAATAGCTGGCTATGATGAGTTATATGTGGGATTTTAGCCAATCATAAACGAAGAAATATTTTGAATGAATATCAATACTTATTATTGCTGATATTCATATTGTAATCGTACAGAGACTGTTGTAAGTCCAGTGAGTGATGAAAAACGTTTTCCCCGTGTTTGAAGGAAGGCAAATTCCTTCTGAGAAGAAAAAAAACATGTTGAGTTACTTTCTGACACTGGATTGATCAAAGTCTTGTACAAGCTACAGTAAGAGTTTACAAATGATTCTGTAATTGAACAAGTAACAAGCAGACCTATTGCATGTCTGATTTGACTACTTGACTGACTTATAAATCTGATTGATCAGAGCAGCTACTTGCTGTATTGCCTGATAACAGACATTCTGACTGACATGACTGAATGACTTTCTTACTGACAGACGACTACCAGACCTGCTGATACAACTGACTTTCATGCACTCACCTGCTACATGTACCAAACTGCCTTACTTGCCTGGCTTACTGGCTGACTAACATACTGACTGCTCTGGTAACTAAAAGACCTACTGATGGACAGACAGACAGACAGACTGAATTAATTCTTTATGGTGCTGTCAGACTAACAATAATTACTGATAGACTGACACACAGACAGCACACTGACTGACCTACAGATAGATTTTATAAGTGTGAGATGGACCAGTGGACTAGTGAGAGCGATCAAAGCTTAAAATATTCTTCATCTAGTGCTGTGCCTTGCATAAGTTTCATGTTGTAGAAGGTCAAAACATGCATGATCAGATTTCACAGTGATGAAAGGTCCAAAGACGCATGATGACATTGTGTTCTGTGCATTCCATTCCCTCCCAGTGGAAGACCAAATGGTTGCTGGCTACATACATGTATGTGCCATGCATCTTTGATGGCAACCTGGAGATTGGGATTGCAGGCTCCTACGGTTGCTTGCAATTAAGTTTTAACATGAAAAATAAATATATTTACCTATCTTTCCTTACAGGCTGGTGAAAAGCATCAACTACCTCAGCTCACAAAGAAGGGTGGCATATCACTGGATGATATCGTAGCCATGTTGATAAGAGTTTTTGTTGATGCATCACCTCACATACCTGAACACCGTCAGCTTCCACTCTTTACACATCTTATCAGTACACTTGGTTCCCTTCAATTTCTTCATACTGCTGTCCTTCTGTTGCTTGAGAGGCATGTGGTTCATGGTGCAAGCAGTCCTGATGGAGACAAACAGGTTTGTGTTGAAGTCAACCACAGGATCATCTAGGATTAACAATATAATGGTCCTTATGCCTGATTACATCAGATGGGCAAATTTCATCACCAAGCCTTGTTTGTAAGCAAAATACTCTCTGGGTGTGGGTATTTTTTCTAACTCTATTGCCTTGGGAATTCATTTATGGAAACCTTTGCAACTGTACAGTTTTAAAATGAGGCTTGGTGGTAAAATTTGCTCAACTGACGTAAACATGCATTAGGGGTATTAATGCTTTCACACGATATTACAACCTGTTCTCACTGTATTATAGATAGCCTGCCTTATGCAGTCAAATCCTCTAAAAAGACTCATTTCTCAGGTGTACAATCTTTATAATAGAGACATCAGAGACAAGAGCCTGTCTCATTTGATGATAGGTTCTCTTAGTTGCACATTACTTCCTCTAAGGCATTATTAGTACTTGTCCCAAAGGTCTTTTTCATTGATGAATTACACTTTTCAATGCTTTGTTTAACCCCATTACAGGTTGGCATTAAGAATCCTCTTGGAGTGGAGTTTTGTCTGAGCCTCTGCCACAATTTTGATTCCCACGTCCAGGTACTGTGTACAACTACAACTTGAAAATTTGAAAAGTAATGCATCGAGAGAGGCCTCAAGGGACTCCTGATCCAATTTTAAATTCTCCCTTTGTTTCATTAACTAACTATAAACACAAGGTAATTTATTGTGGAAAAAGAATGTAATGTCAAATTGGATGTCACTTGGGCTGTTATACTCATCAGCACTGCTTTAGTTGTCACCTTCGATTAGTTCCTTTACAAGGCTGTCACTTGGGGCTGGGGGCTGGGTACTGGGGGCTGAGGATTTCCTCTGGCTTCTATGAGAATGTCTCACAACTAATTTCACAGCAAACAAATGGAAAACACAACCAAGAGAACTTCATAGCTGTCGAATTCCCTATCTACTCAGGGCTATGCTCTAGCAGAGCCTGGTGGGCCCTGGCACCTAACTTATGCTCTTGGGTGACTAGAAAATCTTTGTTTTTTCATGCAAATCATATGCTGGGCACCCTAGATTTTACAGGTTCATAGCACTTGGCTCCCTACAATTTTCCTTATATCACAACCTTGCTACTAATTGCATGTAGGTGGCAACTTGAAATCCTAGTGATAGCCCTGCTGTATCTTGATTGACTCTTGCTAACATCCATTTTGTTGTTTATTTAAGGTTGAGGCTATGTTAAAGCTTTTGCAGTTTATTGATCAATTGCCTCTTGAAAAACCTGAAGGTAAGTTACATGACGAAGTGATCAATGTCAATTTTCTCTCAAACAATATTATCAGTAATACATATTCAAGAGAAAACATTATGAGAATGAATAAAACGAAACATGAAAGGAGAAATGTTTTGATCTTTTATCAAATTCCGTTAACGTATTCTTTAAGAAAATGTATCGAGATCAGTCTGGAGAATTTGTACATGGATATTGGGATGAAAGAGTTAAGTTTATCTTTCATTACGACTGTATGCAGACAGTACAAGTTTTTTAGTTTTGTTAGACTTTTTCCATTTTGTTAAGTCCAGTGGCTGATGAAAAGTGTATTCCCCGTGTTTGAAGGAGTGATCCTTTTGAGAAGAAAAATCACTAGTCGAGTCACTTTCTGACACTGGCTTTACCAACTATGCAAAATAAATAACGTAGTGAAAAACTGATTGCCTGACCACAGCTTATTGACTGACTAGCCAACTGAGTGAACAATTTAATGAATTGTCAATTTACAGTAAACACAGTATTGTTTGCTAGTTGTATTGTTATTTTTGTGGTTAATTTGTTCAACCACACAATGGCCATTCTCTTCTTTGCTTTATTACTGTCTAATGACCCTTACACTTCTTCTTAGTTCGTCACAAGCCTAGGATGAGTCGGAAATCTGCCAGCACCTTCCTGGCTGTAATACCTCTCTTTGATGTAGACAAGCACTCTGCTAAACATCTACGGCAGTTCAAGTACACGTGCCTGACTCTTATACCCTCCCTTCTTGACAGTGAAGACTTTGTTAGCAAGGTTAGTGCAAAGGTTTTAGGGTGGAAGGTTGGTTTCAGGGCTGGGGGGAGACTGGGGGGGAGTCGAGTAGGTTTTGGGTGTACGAGTAGGATTTGTATTTAAGGTGATATGTACCCTCTTATAGAAATTGGCAAATCTTAAATGCCCGTTACTGTAAACTTGTATTAGTTTATTGTGAAGCTTTGCTCTGTTGGAAATAGTATTATACTTGCTAGAATTTTCTTGAATATGAATACCTCATTCTTGATCTGTTGTTTCATTTTCATGGCCCCATTATGCAGCTCGTAGCTAGCTCGTAGCTACATAGATATCTAAGGGGCAGTGACCCTTCAGGCAATATTGTCTAGTGTCTAGTTGTCGAGACCATGAGCAAATTCAACCCCAAAATTTGATACATCTTTCTACAGGTTCATGAAGAGGGAGAAATCTTAAACACACTGTTTCTCAGGTACTCTGCCATTTTGTTGTTTGTTTTATTGATAGAGAATTAAACAGGAGCCAGGTGCAGTGTTGAGTTGTAAGTGTATTTTTAGAAAGTTCCCAAAAAGTCATGCTTGTTGTAGACAGCGTACTATTCTCTCATCAATTCAAGGACGTGAGGTGGAAGCATATCTGTTATGAAATTATTATGAAGCCATCTTGATTAAAGATGGGTGCTGCAGTTCATTGAACCACGCTTTTAGGAGGTCACTCATACGTACATATATTGACCCTAGTTACTTTTGTCGTTTCAGATTACTGGAAGATACTCTGAACTTTATGACTAAAGTAGCTCAGCACAGTGAACGTACACCTCATGATGCTAGCGGGAAATTCTGGAAAGCAATGCTGCACAAAACCTATGAAATTGTTGATAAGGTAAGTCATACCATGTATTTTGTAAACTCTCCAAAATGAAGTTTTCTCAAATGTCATCTGTACACAGTGGGGCTGTATGCCAAAGTTTGTAGATCTATGGCCAAGGGGACAACCTTGTATGTCTGTGTTTAAAAAGAAAGCATTGTATTTATTTTGTCAACTTTTTGGACCAAGGAAACTGTCCATTTATTGTGAGGCATTAGAATTGTAGAGGTGTCTTAGAGGAGATGTTTAAAGTCGTGAACAAATGGAGCTGAATCAGTTTTGCTCAGACTTAAGTGGTGGTGTTATCTATTGTTTTTCACCATGAAAACTACCTTTCTTTTCCAGGTCAACCTTCTCTTGCCATCCTCAGTATTTTTCGATGTCATAAAGAAGCTGCTACACAGCAGCAGTTCTACAGTCAGGCGTAAAGCAATGGAACTGTTGAATAGTAAACTGAGCCAATATGCAGGGAGCATTTCTGAAGATCAGGTATTTTACCCTTGAAATTTTGGGTACCTATAACCAGTAAATCATTAAGCATCAGAAAGGTTGGGCTGTCGTAAGTCTCGTAGCCAGCTAACTTAAGACTTCTAAGAAGCAAGGATTAACAGAGTCGGTTAGTGCACGGCCTATCTTGTGGAGGAGGTTTCGAGTTTGATTTCCACGTCCCTGTTTGATTTCTTTCCTGACCATTTAGCTTTAAGTAGCTTTAAATACCCTTAAAATGGGGTACTGATGGAGAGAGGTGGCTTAAAGCAAGGGCCACCTCCGCCTCAGGTTTGTCAGTCTAATGCGTACTGTAATAAGGACCTTACTCTTACCTGAACTGAAAGTCCATTCCAGTTCCCTTACATTCTCAAATCAATGTGGAAAAGTTTTTTTGCTGTCAGGTGTGCTCAAACCTCACGACTGTGGAAAGTTTTGATGTCAGTTCATGTCATCATGATTGAACTCTTGTTGATTCAATAGCTTCATCCTTGTTAGGTACTGCAGGTATGGACTTTGCTAGAAATTTGAGTTTTTCTCTGCTGTTTTTATAGGTTGGGATACTTCTTAACCTGGTGGCTGAGCTACTTGTGATATCAAGAGGCACAGGGGAAAGTGAAGAATCCATTATAAACAGACAAACAGCTCTCTACAGTTTAAAGCTTCTTTCACGACTGTTGGCAAAAGACCATCCAAGTCCTTTTAAGGAGGTGTGTCACTTTTCCTTACTCTTCACCACAGCAGTAATGTTACAAAATATGTTGTGTTGTTGAAGTGAATCAGCGACTCAAATTTTGTTGTGTTTTGTTTGTTTAGGTGATGTCCACATCCATTGAAGTGTTTTCGTCCAAAGATGCTAATGTGCAGGTCAGTTGTGCCTGGGTTGCCTGTGGGTAACCCCTGAGGAATTGGGAGGTGCGGGGAAGTAACATCCGGGGAAGGGAAGAGTTCCCTCCCTTCTCTCAACTGTGCTTTGGTTTATGGAAACATAGGCATAGCAACAATCAGCAACCGCGACAAAGTACTTGCTGTGTATTATTTCAACTGTCAGAGTTCAGGATATCATACACAGACTGAAGAGTTGGAACCACAATCTCTGCCTATTTTACAGTACCACAAATGATGCTACTTATAAACTTTCATTTGAATGGTCACACTAAAATATAACCTACTTTGTACAGCATCATATGTGATGTTGTTTAGATTAATTGTGATCTTTGTCATGTACTTCAGGTTGCCTCCAGTGCACTGCTGTGTGCAGCAGAAGTGATTAGTGGTCTTCAAGTCCATGCCATTCCATTCTTACCGCAACTAATGCCTTCTGTCCTGAAGCTAATGAAAAGAACTGAAAAAGAAAGGTACTAAGGTTTTGCAACCACCTCTACCTCTCCAGTGCTATGAACAGGAGAGAAGTGGACGACCAGACCAAAAACTACACTTTTTAGGACCAATTATAGTTCATGCAGGAGTGCCTGGGTGTGGTTACTAGGAAAATTTAAGGATCAGTTTGCTGTTATTTCTTGACTTGTTTAAAAGGCACCAGGCCAAAAAACAGGGCTTTAACAAACCACACCTTTTAGGGCCACACATACCTACAATATACTTATTATAGGAGTTCCCACGCTTTGTTACTAGGCAGTAAGTACAGTCAAACATTGTTAATATGGACACTGAGGGGGGCCATAGAAAATGTCTGTATTAAAGGGGTGTCGGTATTAAGGGGCTTTTTTTCCCCAGAGACCAATCAAACTGTCTGTAATAATGAGATGTCTGTATTAAATGGGTGTCCGTGAAGTGGAGGTTTGGAAATGAGCCCTTGTCTAACCCTGAAGACGCTCTTCTTGGTGGAGAATCGAAACTTGGGAAGTGCGCTAAGCGCACACTGTGACGTTTGTTCTTGAAAAAGAAAATGCTTGGTCATATGACTTGATACTTGACTGATGGTTTTTTTATGTGTTTTGTTAGGAACAGTTTGCTGACACTCTGTTGTGCTACTACTCTTCACAAGACCACAGAAGCCCTTCCTCACTTCTTGAGTCCTTATTTGGTGGATCTACTCATTCAGGTGGGTACCCTGTTTTGATTCCATCCTTCTTCACAGGCAGCCCATGTTGACATATTGGTCATAATGTAATGTGGCCTTTGCAAACAAGAATGATACGTTTTTTACATGTCTGCTTTGTAGTCAACAATGTATTGTTTAAGGTTTATCTGTGAGTCGCAGAGTTTAAACTGGTAGCTAGAGTAGTTTATGTCTGGAATAAGATTACAGTCAACTCTCCCTTGACAGACACCTCTTTAACACACCTAGAGTTGGTCCCTGTCTCTATAAGACGGCTAACGTCTCTCTCAAACACTTAGGTGTCCATCTATGACTGAGCTGACTGTATAAAGAGATGAAATATCTCAGTCAGCTGCCATTGCTCAGACCAGTTCAGGGTTGTCAATATCCGCCGGCAACCGTCGCTATTGCCGCCTGTACATTATTGGAAAAATGCAAAAAAAATTTACGGTGAAAAAAGTCGTTTAATAAAAAAGAAAAAAGAAATTGTTTTAATCATGCCCTGCATATTCTTTCTTGTAAGGCAACTTCCCTACCTGGGCAACACATATCCCTAGTAATATGTGTTCCCTTAACGTAGAAACACATATCCCTAGTGATATGTGTTTACCTACCTGGGAAACACATATCCCTAGTGATATGTGTTCCCCCACCTGGGAAACACATATCCCTAGTGATATGTGTTTCCCCACCTAGCAAACACATATCCCTAGTGATATGTGTTTACCTACCTGGGAAACACATATCCCTAGTGATATGTGTTCCCCGACCTGGGAAACTCATATCCTTAGTGATGTGTGTTCCCCTACTTGGGAAACACATATCCCTAGTGATATGTGTTCCCCCACCTGGGAAACACATATCCCTAGTGATATATGTTCCCCCACCTGGGAAACACATATCCTTAGTGATATGTCTTCCCCCACCTGGGAAAGACATATCCCTAGTGATACGTGTTCCCCCACCTGGGAAACACCGATCCCTAGTGATATATGTTCCCCCACCTGGGAAACACATATCGCTAGTGATATGTGTTCCCCCACCTGGGAAACACATATCCCTAGTGATGTGTGTTCTCCCACCTGGGAAACACATATCCCTAGTGATATGTGTTCTCCCACCTGGGAAACACATATCCCTACTGATATGTGTTCCCCCACCTGGGAAACACATATCCCTAGTGATATGTGTTGCCGCACCTGAGAAACACATATCCCTAGTGATATGTGTTCTTCAAGTTTTCTTTTTTTGTTTCGCATTTCTGATTGAACCATTTGTTTTGTGATTTGTATCTCGCTTTCAATCTGACTTCTTTGCATTCTTGCACCAAAGGTTCGCTGAGATGCTACCATGTTTGACAGCTGCTACCAACCTGGATTGAACTGTTTATATCAATAGTGATATGTCTTCCCTAGTGGCCCCACCGCGGATTACATGTCAGCTACTTTCTCTTATTCTCCTTCTACTTAAAATCTTTGTGACAACCCTGCCAGTTGTGTAGGAGTATTGTTAGAAAACTCAATTTCCAGTTACCGGTCTGCACGACACTCTTAATGTGGGCTATTCCGTGGTGCTGACGTCGAGTATCCCGATGCAGAAAATAGTTCAGGTCGTGTCTTTTTCGTCTGGACAGCTAGAACGAGTATTAATTTTGTTTTCTAGGCGACAAATCCTTCACTTACAGAAGGCCAGGTTACTGAGAGTCTAGAAGAACAAGCCGAGGTTACAAAGCAGTCCTCGCTGGATTTGCAACTAAAGGATCGTTTGATTGCACTGAGGTTTGAAGAATTATTCTTGTATTGAGTTTTTTAAATTTACTCAATCTTTTTAGATAAGAGGCGCGTTATCTGTCTGGCATGGCATCACTAGGGAGGTTCACAACCACGTACATGCCATTCGTGAGGAGGAATCTGGGGCCCGTTTCTCGAAAGTCCCGTTAACTTTTCGTGCCAAAAATCAAATATTCAAATCGAAATATAAAGAATAAGAGCGCGGGTCCTGGCTAGAAAACTACTCCATTTTGTTTCATTAACTGATAGTTTTATCATGTTAGATGCAAAACTACTGAAACCGCGGTCTTTAATGTAAACGGCAACAGCTTATTGGACCCGTTAATTATCGGGACTTTCGAGTAACGGGGCGGGTTAATTTTCGCAAAGACTTCTGGGATTGTTACTAGGAACAAAGGAAAAAATTAGCCAATAGCTGACCGGCTCATCGCCAATAGCGATCCCACAAACAATTGCGGGACACAATTCGGCTCCAGTTCCCTTCTTCTTTGTTAAAATAACAGCTATCTTGCCTTTACAATACAGCTGAGATATACAGAATGAAATGATAGGGAAAGCGTTTAAGGCAAAAATGCGAATGTGAATTCATTTAAAGAGTTCACATTCTTCACATAACCTTCCATTTTGCTAATTTTTAAGCTCTCGTTGTATTTCTTACGTTGTCCTTTGGCCTAAAACGTTAAACAGATGTTCAAGAATGAATTGCGTGCAGCGCGTTGGTTTCTGCCAATAATTATTATAAGCATTTTGTTTTGTGCCCTCTTGTCACCCTCGTCGTTGCTTAAGTCCTCTCCATAACTGAAGTCAAGGCGAAGCACGGTTTCTCCTCAATGCCATGGTTGTTACACTTGATTTTGCCAGTGCACAGCAACGAGAGCTGTATGCACAGGTTTGGCCATATCAATGAGTATTACGCGCGTCAGTGATCGCTTGCTAGATGAAAAGAGAAGTCTCCCCTTGAGACAATAGCTGTTTGCCATCCCAAGGTTATACTCATTCTGTTTTGCTTAATTTTCTCTTGCGACAGGAAAGAGCTGTCTTCCAACATATCTCCTAGAGTACTGATATCTGCTGTGACCGAGTGTTACCACAAAGTTGTAATAAAACACAAGGTGAGAGAGAATACGTGTTTATGTGTAAAATTTTTGAAGTTGCTCTGGGCAATCTGTGAGAGAGCGAGGGTTAAACTAGGATTATCTTTTTTTTTTCCTTCAGGTGTGTGTGGTGTCACTTATGAGCCTGCTTGCAGATTGTGTTAGCGGCATGACGAAGGAGGATATCAAAACCCACCAGTCAAACCTGTTTAGCTTGTTTTTGGAAGTGCTGGATTTTAGAGTGCAGCACAACCAGGAAGTACGAATTTCAAATATAGATTTTGTTTTATGTGATGAAGACTTTTTAGGACTCCACGGAGTCTAAAGTACATGTAAGTTTGTCAACTCTTATTTCTTTTGCATATTTCAGGATGATGATGATTTAGTAGACAAGACAGAGGGTAGAGTTATCGAAGCATTTTTGTGTCTAGTGGTCAAGCTGTCTGAAGTATCCTTCAGACCAATGTTTCTACGGGTACGTGTTCATTTTCTGTGTTTGATTTGTTGTTTAATGATGTATTAAAACATCGAGGCTTTCCCTCTAAAGCCGGCTGGGCGTGTCTTTTAATGCTCTATTGTTTAGCTCCAAAATAGTTGGGTTTGCTGATAGGAGCTTGGATTTTCAAGTTCAAATTCCCAATTTTTGCGGGTAACTATCTGTTTATATCTTAACATGATTATCTACAATGTCAAAAATTTGCCGGAAAGTAAAACAAGTACGCTGCGCATCTCGGGACGAGCTAATTATTCAGTGACCTTTCTCGTTTGTATGATACAGTTAGAACTGCTTTAACTTACAAAGAGCAACTCACCAAATTTGCGGTCGCGCGGAGATTAGCGACTTCAGTAAATGCGTCTGTGCTCGCAGGCTGGGCTGGGGGGGGGGGTGTGTGTTGGGAAGGGAGGGGATAGAGAGGGTAAATGTTTTCTGTTTGTCTGTGCAAGGGTTCAGAGTGATATTCCTCCTTTAATTGGAGCCACATAGTATCTATAGGACTGTTAGAGTATATTTGTGTTTTTGCAAGAGGATGTTAATTTGGTGCCTGAAAAAGTAATCACAACTGTTACTTCGTTACAGCTGATAGACTGGGCGACCAGGTCTTCTTCCAGTAAGGAGCGGCTGCTTGTTTTCTATCGTCTGTGCGACAGGTAAAGAACATTTGGTCAATTATTGCGTGTTAAGATGCATTGTTTGACCGGTTTTTTCCCTTACTGTTAATCTTGTTTTATTTAACTCTTAGCGTGGCTGCTAAACTGAAGGGTCTGTTTGTGCTGTTTGCTGGTTATCTTGTCAAGAACTGTGCTTCCTTTCTAGATGCGGCCAACATTTCCAAAACAGGTAAAATGATAAGAAACGTTGAACTTGATCACTTAAATGCGGGGTGTGACATTTCGCCGCACGTTATTATCCCCAGTATACGCCATTTTGATATTGCGCAAGAGATTGGCTCAGTTTATTGTCGAATTACGGTACGAGCCCGTTTTGGATGACGCTGTCGTTCATTAGTTGGCTATTACAAGCTTGCGCAGAAAACTGAGTCCAAATTCGTCCCCAATTCAATCCCTTAGTGCAATAGGGCACAACACTGAGCCAGTCTCTTGCGCAACCTGAAAATGGCAAGGAAGTGATCTAAAAAATTGCGAGTCGAGATAAAAGGATTCTTTTTGTGTTAAGTTAATGAAGAGGGTTTAAGATAGGCTGTATCCAGTTAACTTGCAAAATGCCAAAACTGTTTGGCCTTGGTGTTTAGACGGTCACTAACGTATAACAGGTCAGTGCCAAAAGTTGCAGGAAAATTTGTTTATGTACCAAACGACACGTGTTTAGATTATTGTGCCAAAATAGGAGATGCTTTTTACACTGTGAGAAAAAAAAATTGTGCCAAAGATTAACCGTTTTCTTTTCCACTTCTGTCGATAGAAGAAGGCATCTTCCCAGACGTGTCTAAGAATAGAGGAACACACCTTACTTGCCTTCTACTGAACTACCTTTTGGATTGTTTACACAAATGTCTTTTGTACGACAATCATGGATTCCTGGACGGCGATCGATTCCAATGTTTGATGCAACCGCTTGTGGATCAGGTAAGATGTTAGGTGTGACACTTCACTTATGCCTGTCTTGTCAGTGTCCTGTTTTTAACTCACCGTATGATATGGGACCTTCCTGTCAATGTGTGTGACAGTGTGGTAATCTGGAAGTAAAAGTTGCGCACTACATGAAAGTGCGTGATGGGCTTGTATGTCCCAAAATGCACCTTTTAACAACACTGCAAGGGGGCAAGTGGACTGGAATGGCACGCGCAAAAAATCGGAAGTGTCCCAAGTTTTTTTGACTGGGTTTATAGAATTGGTCCTTGCCATTCTCATCTCCTCTTACGCGACTCTTGTCCCATGGGATTTCCCCCTTAGAGAGTCAAGAGTCTCTAACCTCCAGCTGAAAAACCAATCATGGCATCATAACATAACATTAGAGGGAAGTAAGTTTAGACAAAACACATCACATTAACCTATTTGCAAAGAGCCCAAGGTTGGAGGAAGCAGTATGTTATAGTAGAACAGGTCTCATAACAACTTCGTTTAATACTTCATATCCTAAATTCACTTCTTGAATCCATCTACTTAACGTTTGTTTGCAGACTGAAAATCCATTAGGAGGTGAAGCTGAATTCAAACAGCGTTTGACCAATCATTTGGTGCCCTGTCTCTCACAGTTTGCGGTGGCTGCCGGGAACGATGCGCTGTGGAAACCTCTGAACTATCAAGTGTTGCTCAAAACACGTCACAAGTCTGCGCAAGTTCGCTTCGCGGCACTGAAAGTATTGGAGGGTATCCACGCTCGACTAGGAGAAGATTTTATGGTCCTCCTGCCAGAAACCATTCCTTTCTTAGCAGAGCTCATGGAAGGTAGGTCACGCACCCTTCAATCCCCTCAGTCACGCAAGTTTCTTGTAACGCAACCCAACTCTGTATGATGAGCCAATGGCATGGTTTGAAAGGACTTTCGATGTGTTTTTAATGTTTTTTGTTTCTATCCACTTTTGTAGATGAATGTTTTGAAGTCGAACAACAATGTCAACATCTGATCTCGGAGATTGAACGAGTCCTGGGAGAACCACTACAGAAGTATTTTTAATTCTCGGACATCGACTCAAGTCATGCTGTTCAGCCTGTTCGAAGAGCCAGGGAGGGGTGGGGATATACAGGAACAATATGCTTACGTTTTTCCAACCCCCTCCGCTAGATTAATAGAGATTTTAAAGAACGACACGGCGATGACAAGAAGAGTTTCCAAAAAGTAGTAAGTCAAATCAGCAAAACAACAACTCTGCACGTGCATCACATGTTTTGGTAAATTTATTTTCCGCCCTCAGCACGACTTTAACGTGTAATTCTTTAACGCAACGTTTAAGGCGCGGTGTAAAGAAACAAGTGTTTTAAGTGGGGTCTTAAAAAATTGAACTGCAAGAAAATTCACTTACATATGACAAATTGAGCCAGTCGGCTCGCTTCACTTGCAGTTTTTTTTTAAATTTGCGTCCTGTTATTCGCCATTTTCCCCATTAAGTAACCTCGTCCCAGGCTAACTCTGATAACACGCGGCGTGGCTACTACTCTACGCATGTGCGTAGCTATATCACACCGCCAGTAATCCCATGAGCAGCTGTTACAATCTCATTGATGCATATCAGCATGGCCCTAACCGTCAGACCATCGTTAACGCCAATCAGTATCACGTGACCAAGCTTTCCCTCTGCTTGTGCTAAACTGTTTTATACGTCTTCAGGAATTGTGAATCTAAATATCGTGTCGTTTGAATAAAGACTTCAAAAAAATTACAACTTCTATTTCCTGCTTTAAACTCGATACTGTTATTTTTACAAGATATGCAGCACTCCTGGAGGATAATTGTCTTGTCTTTTTAGACCTGCCTATTGAACTTTTACATTAAAAAATGATACATTTAATGCAAAAATGAACATTTTATAAAAATTCTGCAGAATGAGATACCTCTCCTTGTTGTAAAAATGAAGCTATCATGCGAAATAAAAACGTTATTCTTTGACGTCAAATCATTGTTGCCTTGTGTGCCTACCTGTTTCTCCTGTAACTTTTGACGAGTAAACGAGTCGACCTGTTGTAGGTAAAATCGAACTAAGGCCTAGTTTGATTCAGAAAAGTCCTTTGTTCCCTTACCCTAATTATTCTTAGATTCTGGTTTGACCTACAAACAGAATTCACCTACAACAGGCAAACGTTAACATTTGTTGTTGTTCTTGTTGTTCTTGTTATTGTTTAGAACACATCTAGTAATACATCAATCCACAGGTAAACCAAGCTTAAAAATGGTTGCATAACAGGTAGGCCAAAGATTGCGTAACCTTCGAAGTATAAGGATTTGTAAGGGGATAAACTATTGTTTCTAACGCGACAAGCGAGAAACGTACCACTGATGTAAGGTGAGTCAGTTGTTTTCTGATTTTTCTTAGATCAAATCAAATTTTATTTTTCTAAAACAAGTAAAAAATTTGGGATTTTTCCAAACGGGTTAGTCTTTCCATCTTTTTATTATAGCCAAAATAGGCCAGGAAAATGTGTTTGAGAATATTCTACAAAGAAAAAAACCCTTTCCAAACAATAATAACCAAAAGATAAAAAGTCGAAACATTACGATTTTTCCAAAGGGGTTAGCCCATGGTTTTGGTTAAAAATTGGAAATTATTCCATCTTTTTAATAGAGACAAAAAAGCCCAGCACAGTGTGTTTGAGAGTATTCTAGAAGAAAAAAGTCTTTCCAGACTATAAAAACAACAAGTTAAAAAAGTCAAAAATTTGAGATTTTCCAAAGAGTTTACTACATGGTTTTGGTCAAAAATTGGCAATTTTTTCATCTTTTTAATATAGGCAAAAAAGGCAATGAAAATGTGACTGTCTGAAAATATTCTAAAAAGAAACAAAGCCTTTCCACACTATAAAAACAGCAAGTTAAGAAAGTCGAAAATTTAGGATTTTTACAAAGGGGTTAGTACATGGCTTTGGTCAAAAAATGGCCATTTTTCCATCTTTTTCTTTCAAGGCATATAGATCAGGAAAAGTGTATTTTAAGATATTCTAGAACGAAAAAACGCCTTTTTACGCTATAAAACCAAGAAGTTTAAAGTGTATTTTACGATATTCTAGAACAAAAAAACGCCTTTTTAGCCTATAAAAAAAAAAATTCAAAAAGTCCAGAAAACTGAGGTTTTTCCAAAGTGGTTAGTCCATGGTTTTGGTCAAAAATTGGCCATTTTTCCATCTTTTTTTTAAAGATAATATAAGGCAAGAAAATGTCTTTTACGATATTCTAGAACGAAAAAACGCCTTTCTAGGCTATAAAAACACGAAGTTGAAAAAGCCAAAAAATTGAGATTTTTCCAAAGGGGTTAGTCCATGGTTTTGGTCGAAAATTGGCCATTTTTCCATCTTTCTTTTTTAAAGATAATATAGGGCAACAAAATGTCTTTTACGATATTCTAGAACGAAAAAACGCCTTTCTAGGCTATAAAAACACGAAGTTGAAAAAGTCCAAAAATTGAAATTTTTCCAAAGGGGTTAGTCCATGGTTTTGGTCAAAAATTGGCCATTTTTCCATCTTTTTTTTAAAGATAATATAGGGCAAGAAAATGTCTTTAACGATATTCTAGAACGAAAAAACGCCTTTCTAGGCTATAAAAACACGAAGTTGAAAAGGTCGAAAAATTGAGATTTTTCCAAAGGGTTAGTCCATGGTTTAGGTCAAAAATTGGCCATTTTTCCATCTTTTTTTTAAAGATAACGTAGGGCAAGAAAATGTCTTTTATGATATTCTAGAACGAAAAAACGCCTTTCTAGGCTATAAAAACACGAACTTGAAAAAGTCCAAAAATTGAGATTTTTCCAAAGGGGTTACTCCATGGTTTTGGTCAAAAATTGGCCATTTTCCATCTTTTGTTTAAAGATAATATAGGGCAAGAAAATGTCTTTTACGATATTCTAGAACAAAAAAACGCCTCTCTAGGCTATAAAAACACGAAGTTGAAACAGTCCAAAAATTGAGATTTTTCCAAAGGGGTTAGTCCATGGTTTTGGTCAAAAATTGGCCATTTATCCATCTTTTTTTTAAAGATAATATAGGGCAAGAAAATGTCTTTTACGATATTCTAGAACGAAAAAACGCCTCTCTAGGCTATAAAAACACGAAGTTGAAAAAGTCCAAATATTGAGATTTTTCCAAAGGGGTTAGTCCATGGTTTTGGTCAAAAATTGGCCATTTTTCCATCTTTTTTTTTAAAGATAATATAGGGCAAGAAAATGTCTTTTACGATATTCTAGAACGAAAAAACGCCTTTCTAGGCTATAAAAACACGTAGTTGAAAAGGTCGAAAAATTGAGATTTTTCCAAAGGGGTTAGTCCATGGTTTTGGTCAAAAATTGGCCATTTTTCCATCTTTTTTTTTAAAGATAATATAGGGCAAGAAAATGTCTTTTACGATATTCTAGAACGGAAAAACGCCTTTCTAGGCTATAAAAACACGAAGTTGAAAAAGCCAAAAAATTGAGATTTTTCCAAAGGGGTTAGTCCATGGTTTTGGTCAAAAATTGGCCATTTTTCCATTTTTTTTTTAAAGATAATATAGGGCAAGAAAATGTCTTTTACGATTTTCTAGAAGGAGAAAACACCTTTCTAGGCTATCACGAAAACACGAAGTTAAAAAGGTCGAAAAATTGAGATTTTTCCAAAGGGATTAGTCCATGGTTTTGGTCAAAAATTGGCCATTTTTCAATCTTTTTTTTAAAGATAATATAGGGCAAGAAAATGTCTTTTACGATATTCTAGAACGAAAAAACGCCTTTCTAGGCTATATAAACACGAAGTTGAAAAAGCCAAAAAATTGAGATTTTTCCAAAGGGGTTAGTCCATGGTTTTGGTCAAAAATTGGCCATTTTTCCATCTTTTTTTTTAAAAGATAATATAGGGCAAGAAAATGTCTTTTACGATATTCTAGAAAGGAAAAACGCCTTTCTAGGCTATAAAAACACGAAGTTGAAATGGTCGAAAAATTGAGATTTTTTCAAAGGGGTTAGTCCATGGTTTTGGTCAAAAATTGGCCATTTTCCCATCTTTTTTTTAAAGATAATATAGGGCAAGAAAATGTCTTTTACGATATTCTAGAACGAAAAAAGGCCTTTCTAGGCTATAAAAACACGAAGTTGAAAAACTCCAAAAAAACTCAGATTTTTCCAAAGCGGTTAGTCCATAGTTTTGGTCAAAAATTGGGCATTTTTCCATCTTTTTTTTAAAGGTAATATAGGGCAAGAAAATGTCTTTTACGATATTTTAGAACAAAAAACGCATTTCTAGGCTATAAAAACACCAAGTTGAAAAAGTCCAAAAATTGCGATTTTTCCAAAGGGGTTAGTCCATGGTTTTGGTCAAAAATTGGCCAGTTTTCCATCTTTTTTTTTAAAGATAATATAAGGCAAGAAAATGTCTTTTACGATATTCTAGAAAGAAAAAACGCATTTCTAGGCTATAAAAACACGAAGTTGAAATGGTCGAAAAATTGAGATTTTTCCAAAGGGATTAGTCCATGGTTTTGGTCAAAAATTGGCCATTTTTCCATCTTTTTGTTAAAGATAATATAGGGCAAGAAAATGTCTTTTACGATATTCTAGAACGAAAAAACGCCTTTCTAGGCTATAAAAACAGGAAGTTGAAAAGGTCCAAAAATTGAGATTTTTCCAAAGGGGTTAGTCCATGGTTTTGGTCAAAAATTGGCCATTTTTCCATCTTTTTTTAAGAGATAATATAGGGCAAGAAAATGTCTTTTGCGATATTCTAGAACGAAAAAACGCCTTTCTAGGCTTTAAAAACACGAAGTTGAAAAAGTCCAAAAATTGAGATTTTTCCAAAGGTGTTAGTCCATGGTTTTGGTAAAAAATTTGCAATTTCTCCATCGTTTTTTTTTAAGATAATATAGGGCAAGAAAATATCTTTTACGATATTCTAGAACGAAAAAAGGCCTTTCTAGGCTATAAAAACACAAAATTGAAAAAGCCAAAAAATTGAGGTTTTTCCAAAGGGGTTAGTCAGAGGTTTTGGTCAGAAATTGGCCAGTTTTGCATCTTTTTTTTTAAAGATAATATAAGGCAAGAAAATGTCTTTTACGATATTCTAGAACGAAAAAACGCCTTTCTAGGCTGTAAAAACACGAAGTTGAAATGGTCGAAAAATTGAGATTTTTCCAACGGGGTTAGTCCATGGTTTTGGTCAAAAATTGGCCATTTTTCCATCTTTTTTTTAAAGATAATATAGGGCAAGAAAATGTCTTTTACGATATTCTAGAACGAAAAAACGCCTTTCTAGGCTATAAAAACACGAAGTTGAAAAACTCCAAAAAAAACTCAGATTTTTTCAAAGGGGTTAGTCCATAGTTTTGGTCAAAAATTGGCCATTTCTCTATCTTTTTTTTAAAGATAATATAGGGCAAGAAAATGTCTTTTACGATATTCTAGAACGAAAAAACGCCTTTCTAGGCTATAAAAACACCAAGTTGAACAGTCCAAAAATTGAGATTTTTCCAAAGGGGTTAGTTCATGGTTTTGTTCAAAAATTGGCCATTTTTCCATCTTTTTTTTAAAGATAATATAGGGCAAGAAAATGTCTTTTACGATATTCTACAGCGAAAAAACGCCTTTCTAGGCTATAAAAACACGAAGTTGAAAAACTCCAGAAAACTCAGATTTTTCCAAAGGGTTTAGTCCATAGTTTTGATCAAAAATTGGCCGTTTTCCATCTTTTTTTTAAAGATAATATAGGGCAAGAAAATGTCTTTTACGATATTTTAGAACAAAAAAACGCATTTCTAGGCAATAAAAACACGAACTTGAAAAAGTCCAAAAATTGAGATTTTTCCAAAGG